TTTGAGCATCTTGTTTAAGTAAGGTTCTGTTGCACAAGGCCGCATTGGCCAGAATCCGCCGAATGGTGGCACCCAAGAAGAAACGTCGTGACTTGGATGTTCCTCAGTTTGTGAAGGATCAATGGAATAGTGGAAGGGCTGTTCGGGACAACCTCGCCGAACTGCTAAAGCAAGTCAACTTCGACAAGGACAGCACAAGTGCTGAATTTGCAATCGCATCTCACAAATTCCGATTTACGGATCTTCTTGGTTGAATTCATTCAGAAACCAGGAGGTATTCATCAAGAAGGTGGAGATTTCGGTCCGAAAGGACAAAGTGATCGAAGTTACTATTTTGGAGGGATGGTACAGCGAGCATGAAATGTCCCAAGATCTGAAGTGGAGTGCGTGGGATGCTTATTATCTGGATCTACTGACTCGTTTCATTGTTTCCATTTGATTGCAATGGAATCCATGCATGCATATTGTCACTTGATGTTAGACCACTGTTCCTCCAGGGCCCGAATTGCTGGTGCAAAGCGTGTTTGTGAAGCCGCCCCGGATACGCTCGTGAGGCAGGCCATGGTATTTAGTCATTTAGTTCTGTATGTCATGCACGTGATGCTTTTTTGATGCCATCAATCCGAGTTTGAATGAGGGACGCATCGCTGCCCAGGACAAATATGTATGATGGCGTTCGAGAGTATCATGTTCAGACCCGTGAAAGTGGAACCCGATCTGAGAAACAGACTGAGTCGGAGCTGCGCAGCAGAACTGAGGATTGTCAATCTTTTGGATGTTTGTGTTGTCAAAACCTTTCCCATCGTGGTCCACCCGCTTGACTGCACCCTTCTGTCCTCTGCTCCTGCCAGGAAGACACAGGGGCGGCGATCCCAAATCCGGGCTTTGATGGCCTCGAGAAGGCAATGAACCGAGCGCAGGCTCCGAAGGTCGCTGCAGTGGCCGAAGCAACTTCGGAGGTGGGGTATTCATAAGTTAACATGACCAAGGGAAACCAATGCAAACATCATTACTTCACCGAATCCAAAAGGGACTGTGGTCACCAAAACATTATACCTGTTGCCAGTACAAAGATCGATTCACGAAGTTCATGGAGAGCGTTCTTCAGAAAAGTGGGAAACTTCGATCCCAGCTCCGGGACCTCTCTGAGAAGTTCAAAAGCACTGCGCAAGTCAAATCGTATTTGGGCCAACTTTTTCTTGCAGCATCATCTTTCCAAACATAAACCATTACCTAATGTTCTCTTTCCAAGGTATGAGCAGGAAGTGGCCGATGAGATTAAAGTCCTGGATGGTGAGTACGACAAGCTCAATGAGGTGCTGGCTCATGGTGCAGTCGATGGCTACGGACAACCGTTTCTAGCCCAGTAATCCTGGAAAGCTATGGCATCCCCCAGCCGAACCACCTACGAAGGATTGATTTGAGGTATTATTAAGTGCAATTTTCATGTTGCCGGATCGGTCATCGGTAGAGTTTGACAATTTCTTTTGCAAAGTTTTTGGAGCCCTCCGCATGCTGAGGTTTTGGGCCAAAGCAGAACCAGCCATGCGAGCCGCGACCATGAGGCACCCTTCCTATTATCGATTTGTTTCTCAATACAGGATCCGATGTTAAACTGTTTGGGATCCCGAGCCAGCAACGCATCAGGTGCAGCCGAGCGGCAGCATTGGAAGCCAAGCTGAGGTTCCAACCTCGACGGTTTCGGTGTCACATTGCCCTTTGGTTTTTTGGAACAGCAGCTCATCGGTTTCAAATTTGTGTGCTGAACAGGAATGCCAAGAAGTATTTCGAGAAGATCGACACCAATAAGCGTCCGGGTGAGAACCTCCCTGGCACAGGATCTAAAAAACCCAAGCCTACCGCTGCCAAGAGCAGAGCTTCGAAGAAGAAGTAGGTTGTTTGTATCAGCTCGACAAAAATGTCGCTTTTGTGCGTTTGTTTGGACTCTTAGAACTGCGGGAAACCCTGCAGCTTGAGTGCTACAAGCATTCTCTTTCATGGCTATGGATTCTCCATTTGCGCCAGGTGTTCTGAGTGAGATATATATTTCCGATCTTAGGCCCACACTGTAAGCATTTCATTTGGTCCAATTCTTTTGACCTGGCAGAGCAAAGAGCGGAGAGATGTGGAGAGAGCGTGGTTTTCACCATGCCCAATTTGGGGTCGAAGCAATCGTTGGTTGCAGGGAAAAATCATCTATGACGTGTGCGACACAACTTCTATAGATTGTTTTCATACTAGGAAGTGGCATGCCCGTCACAATCCGTGCCAGGAAAGCCTGCTGGAAGAACACTCCGAGGATTTGCCGCGGACATCGGTCAAGGAGTTCCGCAGCTAAATTTCCGAAAGCAAATGCCCCACAGTCTGTTTGTTCCACAAATTGGGGGAGAATATGGGATAATGTTTTTCAGTAAGGGGTTGAAAGTGCATGTTCTGATTTCTGAGAAATCTTGAATTTCCCAAAAGTTTTGATAGCCACAGTCGACAGTTATATTTGAGCCAACTTGCATCGGGACCCTTCCACCATATTTGAAATTTAAAACCCAATATAGATTGCACAGTGACAGCCGCTTATCAAATTTAATTTTCGGGGTATGTTGTTTTAAGTATGGGGTAAACACTCAGTATCACTAAGTAATTTTAGGGGGTTTGGTCGCTTAAGGTGTGGTAGCCTGAACCTTTCACTTCTCCGATGGTAGCCCTACACATCCGAGGCTGCTAGCAGGCAGGCCGTTCGAACGGCTCGCAACATTGTCGCTGATGTTGGCAAAGCTGCAGCAAATGCTTCTGGTGGGCTTGTGAGCTTCTCGGAGTGCAGTGAGGGCAATGCAGAGCGGGATGCCCATAGGTTCTTTAGCCGATACAATTTGAGACTTCCTTTGAATTTGGTGCCCATTCGCCCTGACAAGCCTCAAGGGATAAAAGGACTGAAGCTACAAGACTGGTGTCACTTTTTACTTCATCGGAACTGCTGGCACATGCTATGCGGTCTACTTCGGCCTGATCCAAGCCGTGAAAAGGCGATTTGGTCTGATTTTTGGGCTAAATTTGAAAAAGCACAGCCGGAGCATGAAGTTTTTTCGCTGGCTAGGGCAGGAACAATACAACTGTCGAATGCAGCTGCAGTAGTATACCATGGCGATGAAGGACGTGGCAGAAAAAAGCAACCATTCCTTGTCACCAGTTTCAAGTCCTGCCTTGGCAGGGGATTGGCACCTGGTTTGAGAGCTTCGAAGGCAAAAGGTGTTTCCCAGCACTACATCAAACAAAAATGCAATTATGTTGGGTCGGTTTACACCACGCACATGCTTTCCTGCGTTTTGCCAAAGCACCTTTACCGAAAGGATGATGAATCTGTGCAAGACATTTTCAACTTCGGAGCAAATTGTGCTGACGACGTTGGCCGGCATGGAGTGGTTGACACCAGATCTGGAGAACGTTTCTGGATGATTTGCATAGCAGTCACTGGAGACTGGCAGTTCCTGGTCAAATGTGGCCGATTGGCCCGCAGTTACTACAACTGTGAGAAAGGCAAGGGGCAGACTGGAAGGCAAGAGCAACCGAAAGGTATATGCCACCTGTGTCGGGCAGGACAACGTGATTACCCTTTCGAACAGTTGGGAACGCGGAACCCTTTCTGGCTTCCAACCATGCATACTGAATCTGGGTTCAAGTCGGTGCCAGCTTTCACACGCCTGATGTGCTTGAGACAGAAGCCAGAAGCAATGTTTCAGTTCGACATTTGGCATGGTTTCACGCTCGGTGTTGGCAAAACTTTTGTTGCCAGCACGCTGGCATTGGTGTCAGACCTGTTTCCTGGACGGTCCAAAGATGCTCGTTTTGAAAGCCTATCATCCAACTATTTGGACTGGTGCAAGGCCAATGGGCAAACTGCATACTTGAGCTACATTTGCAAGGAAACTATCTTGTGGCCAAGCACAAATGAGATGCCTTCAGCTATATGGTCCAAAGGTGCTGCAACCACAGTGCTTCTGAGATGGCTCAATGCTTGGAATCAAGATGCGGATTTGTCGGAGAACGTGCTTTACCAATTGCAAAAGGAAGCTTGCGGTTGCATCAATTCGTTCTTTGCACAGCTGTACGAACTGGATGCTTGGATTCCTAGTGCCACTGCCATTGAGCTCGGAGAGCTTGGGCTTCACTTTTTGGCCACTTACGACAAGCTCGCAAAGGAAGCATACCGACAAGGGAACGTGCTGTACATGTTCGTACCGAAACACCATCAGTTACACCATGCCTTTTTGGTTGATCTTTTTTTGGCAGGCCATCGGCAGCCGTATGTGATCAACCCGTTGATCTACGCAACCCAGTTGTCGGAGGATTTCATAGGCAAGGCTAGCAGAACTGCCCGAAGGGTACATGCTAGCACGGTGGTTGAAAGAGTCATCCTCCGATATTTAACAAAGGCCCATCAAGAATGGTGCAATGCGGGGTACATTATCAGCTGATGGGGTCGAATCAGCGGAAAAACGACAGTTTGTTGCAATGTGCTATTGCAGGCACGCATGATGCAGTTGTTCACCTGAGGCGACCAAACCCCAAATAATTGCTAAACCCGAAAACCTGGTTTTTGGGGAAATTTATGGGTTTTTTCCTAAACCCTTGTTTTTTTAAGGTTTTGGTTGCTTAAGGTATATATAGTGGATAAATATTGTCGATAATTAATGAATTGATAATTGTGGATGATATATGATGATGTAATTGATGTATGATATACATACATTTATATATATATATATGTATATTATATATATATATATTGTAGAATTATAGATGATACATGGTGATATGGATGCAGAGTGAATCGATCCCCTCAATGGAGACACTTGCTAGCTACGTGTGATGTAACCGGATTTCCTAGGGTTGATACAACTACTGAGCACTGACTAACGTCACTAACGTCACTAACGTCACTAACGTCGAACCTCAGGGAATATCCAGTAAACACCCAAGCTGATTGGGTCCCCCATTGCACCATCCTCGGAGACAGCAAAATTTGGGAAGTTCCCGCGGCCAGATTGCCAAAAGTACCTGGAGGCTGGAGAGTGGAACCAATGAACAAATCATCTAGCAGCCTAGCAGACATCATTACCGCACAGATTTGGCCTAGCCAAGTACCATGCTTAGATTACCCATCAAGTTACAACTGAAGTTTAGGACAAGCCCAAGATCCCAAGCCTAATTAGTGGATTATAAACTCTAACCCCACTTTGCCACATCCGCCACGTTACGCCCATCACCCATGCAATGACAACCCGAACAGCCCGAATCATGTCCACGCCGCCCCATTTTCGAATCATTTTCAGAAGCCACCACTTTTGGTCTACAAAAACAATAACAAGACCAAGACGCTTGGGTGTATGTAAAAATGGGGTATGCCGTAGTCATCTTAAAACAAAAAAATATATAATAATGAATACATGAATAAACCATTGGATTCTGAGGTCCCTAAAATAACAAGACCAAGACACTTGGGTTCCACCCTCCGCGCGTGCGACTGCAGCAGGTTACTGCCACTCTTCTCGCAGTCATCATAACACGCGCCCAGAACCAGCGGCAGGGCCAAAAGCGCAGCGATGCAAAGCATGGCGTGCGGCTGATGGTGCAAAAGATATTCAACTGGCAAGGCAAAATGTGGTCTTAATTTTGGCATATCCGTAGAATTTCAATGAATTCAATTGATTTCATAGAATTTTCCTTCGGATTCATGAGAGAGGTTTCTCAAGAGTGAATAGAAATGAGTAGAATAAATCTTTGATGCTGGAGTTGTAAGTGTAGTTTGATGTAATTTGTGTTAACGGCAGGGAAGGAAGGGGTTGGGAGATTGAAATAATGTAGACAAACGCTGCATGTGGAAGTTCTTCATCACCTGGTGAACCGTGAACAAGCTGCTGTTGGGTTTCAGCGCTTGAGCAGTCAATCACCGGTTCCAGAATATAAGGCCTGGGGAGGGCGACTACGACCATGAAAGTCGCTTGTCCACCTGAACAAAAGTACTTGATAGCATGAAACGTCATATCTGTCCCACCAATCTTGAACATTTTATGGGGCCATCAATCGACGGAGTATTCGTGAACTTGTTGAAGAACTATGACGTGACAAAAGAAGCAAACACATACAAAGCAAGCCTTGGCATAGTTTGGACGGTTTTTTGATGCCCAGCTGTGAATAGTGACAAATGCATTCAAATCTGATGTTGCACATATCCGTAGAATTCGAACGGCAAACACGACGACCATCCCAGGCAGACGAACAAATATGATCATCGCTCAATCAAACGCATCTTTCATACTCATAGATATTAAGTATAAGCATGTAGGTACAATTAAAATTTCTGATGTAATTCTTCGATTATCCCAATATGACAAAAATATAGCCATCATAATATGACACTTCTAGGCCTTTTCCATCCTTTTCCATCCTTTTCCCCTTTTTGGGACGGAAATTCCTGGGTTCTCCCGCTGGCATGAGGCCACTAGCCAACTTGTGCAGAGGCAGCAAGGCGTGCCCGATACGCTCCGAATAGGTCACTCCCTGCGAGGGACTGGCGACGTCAGATGGGGTACCTTAAAGTGGAGCCGCAAAAGACCATGGTTTCCTGGGAAATCCTTCGATGAATTCACGACCCGAGTCCCACTAATGTATATAATATTATATACACCTATATTATTATATATAACTATATATAATATATTATCTATTCAATTCTATTCAACATTAAACCATCGTCATTCCTTTTATGACATTAAGCAATATATTTCACCATCCATCTGGTTTTGGCGTTGCTCACCCAGTCACCACCGAGATCATCCTGGAAACCAAGCCCTCTTAGTTCACCAAAACCACTGCGTGGAAGGGAAGTCCCTTAAGATTTACAAATAGGCTGGTTGGTGGTTTTAACCATCTTGAAAAATATGAGTTCGTCAATGGGAAGGATTATCCCATATATTAATATAATATAATATAATATATATATATTATGGAAAATTAAAAAAATGTTTGAAACCACCAACCAGTCGGAAAAAAGCATAAAAAGCGATGATCTCACCTGACATCATTTTTGGATCGCCATAGACATTTCAGGGCTACAGAACGACATATTTTCTTATGCTGATCTCACCTGCAAACGGTTCAAAGCACTGTATAAATATATGGCAGTGTGTCAAAACCCTGTACCCCTGGTGAACATCAAAATAGCTGGTAAATGGATGTTCATTCCCCTAAAAAGGTATCTATAGGTATTGATCCATACCCATATAACAATATATACCTTGATCCCATTTTTTCCCCGGCTAAAGACCAGAGGCACCTCCAATAAGCGCATCCAATAGATCAGCACCTGAAGTAAAGGAACTGCGTGTCTTTCTGCTATGATCAGGGGACTTCAACAAATCCCACACCCCACTGGATCGGATCTACCACAGGCACACAGGAATCCAAGAATTGGTTTAGAGAAAAATTGTAATTGAAACCGGAAACACTGATACATTCAGTGTAAAAAAACAAGCAGGTTGCTGCAGATGCTCCTTTCATTCCGTTCAAAACAGAAGTTCATGGCCAATCTTAGATACCCTTCAAAAAGTTTTTTTTAGCTGGCCTAAACAAGCCACTCAAGGTTCCCCCAGAACTTCCCCGAGCATCCCTGCGATAAACGTCTGCAGCACGCGCGAGTCGTATTGCCACAGCAGCAAGATGGGCAAGATGCTGCGCAGCAAATCCCAAAGATTGCCTGGCAGTACCGACATGGAGGTTTTCTAACATCATCCAAGTCATCGAAAAAACCATTTCCCATAGTTCAGTATTGAAACCTATGGTTGGTCCCAAAAATTGGAGGGTTTTCACCGGCATAGAAATACAGGCTTAAGATGGCTTAAGGAACAAAAAACCCGAGGTGTATCCAAAAATTGGGGCTCGCCAAAGCATGTGTTCTGTTTTTTCCACGGGAAAACAATGATCAAACATGACCATGAATTTTTTTCGGGGGGTACCCCTTGAAAGCCTTGGGCACCGAGCTTTTTTTGGGGGTCAATGGATTTCGAGGCCTCTGGGATTCGCTGGTTTTGTGACTAACATAGCCATGGATGGCCCATAGAGATGGTTTACCGTTCTTAAAAATGGCTATGTTAAATTACCAGATGGTACATATTCCACGTCTTGGTTAAATCATGAAAGCCAGTTTTCTGAATGAAATTTGACAGAACTGTTGTCTTGCTTTCAATCTCAAGATGACCGCCATCATCAACGAACCTGCGTTTTTGAAGCCACCAATAGTCCCTTCCCCTAGGAAAAAATACACCCACACGGGACCCCAAGTCGTGAACAGATCCAATACAGTACTAAACCAAAGTCCCGCTTGGGGCTATCAACGAATTTTCGGGGAATGAATGGATAGATTTCTGAAGGCTATTTCTTGCCATCATTTGGATCTGAAATAGTGTACCCAAAAATCCATTGGTTAATCCTCATTATCCTCATTATATAAATGGCTATAATTGGATATACCCTATTTTCAGACAGATCCATGTGGTGATATATCCCCATGATTGGCTGAAATCCAACTGAGAGCCATTGCACGCCAGCGGGGCCTGGTCGCATGTAGCTCATTGGCTCTCCGATGACCTTGCAGTGATGTTCCACTCTTGCTGCATAGCTGAGTATTTTTTTATGGCAGATCAACTTTAGATCAACGGCTATTTCAAGGGGGATGGGAGTGCGGTAATGAATCAACACTGAAGGATAGAAGCACATATCACCAAAGATAATTCCAAGAGAAAAACCAAGTGGGTGATACATCCCGCAAAATGCAATATATTTATATTTTATATATCTTATATATATATATCAATGATATTTTGGCCCCTTGCAAACCATTCCATCTTCTGCCGAATGTTTATTCAAAAAGAAGAAAACAGTCATCACGTAACCGAATTTTGGTCCATGGTTCCTCGGAAAAAATGAATGAACAAGGCAACAGTTTCAAGTACTGTAATTGCTGAGGTTCTAAGCCTGGTTTTGCTCCAAAGGGTTTTTATACCTGTTGTCGGGATGAATCGGAACCAATGTTGAGATAGGCCTTTTTTGTTTACAGTGGAATTGAGGGATCCATACCCTGGATGGGATTTTTTCCCATGAATTCACATTCCATGGTGGATCTTAGATATCTGCCAACAAAAATCTCATATATTTTTGAGCTGGTTGGCACATTTTATCATAGCAAAAGATTATATAACTCATTATAACTCTAACGTAATCTAACCTAACCAATAGATACTGGTTGACCTATTTTTGCTGTGGAGGACATTACGACCCTATTTTACCATAACCAGTCGATTTTGCTCAGTTTAATACTGAAGTATCTAACCAGTCGGTTGACCCAGATTCTTGGACACTGTATTCCTGCTCATCATGCCATTCGATGCTAGGAGTTGTCTCGCTGAACATCACCCAATCCTTTTTTTCAGGATGCATTGCACTGCTGGTTATGATTATTACTTCGCCGAATTCACTGAATACATGGTGGTTTCTTAAAATGGGGGATCCGAAACCATGGGTTTCAATACTAAGATCGTTCAATTTTGGATGATTTGCGGGTACCCCCTTTTTAATTTTTTAGGAGACCTCCATATGTGCATATACAGTAATAATCACCATCATAAATATCATAGTCATGATAACAATAATTGTCAATACATGATAATACTGGGAAACATGATAAGCATGATAAGCATGATGATAACAATGAGGATAAGAACAATAAGCAGGTGTAAAAGCTGATGATAATAACAAGAATAAATACCTTGATTTGGTTAAAACATCCAAATCTGCAGTAGAGTGACCATTGTGCCCCAGAACTGTGCGACTTCCAGCAGCAAGTCGACAATACCTCTGGCGAATCTTCGCCACCAAGAAGCCACAAAACGCCACCGGTTTTTTTTTATAGGGAAATCAACAGATAAAACTAAGCAACATTAAACTGGAGTGATTTGAAACTAATGATACTGTAATGAGTCATTACAAAACTTTGATTGCATAATCAAAACCCGTCACTGTAAAGTTGTTTTCTTTAATTTTGTCCAAGCTGGGACCGCATTAAGAATTATCAACGGCTTCTCCGGGACCAAAGCATTTCCTTGACGCTCGGATTTTCCTGCTTCAAATCCATTTTGCAAATTTTGCATTTCTGAAGGAAAGTGTTCAAGACACAGTGACGGGCAGGCAAACCGTGCGGAGGCTGAAAACAACACATGAAAAACATAAACGAAATATTGGTGCGGGCGTCAAACATCAAAAAACTTAAGGAGAGAGAATTTTTTGCGCACCCAAAGTTGCACCAATAATTGGTGAACCCCGCCACCCTCCCTGCCACCCTCCCCGGCCACCCTCCGAGCACCGCTTTTTGTAGGGATGTTTAGCAGCCACTGGTCCTACCAAGTAATGACGTAATTAATGTCACCATATTTCATAATGGATAAGCGACTTTCTCTTGTTGGCAGTTTCAACACAACCCTCCCCCGTTATAGTGGTAATAGTGGCGATGTAAGCAAGGAACAGTGATTCTGCCAGCAATTCTTTGGGACATTGGGATAGGAGGGCCCACAGGGCATCGAGCTTGGATTGGGATGGTAAAGGATAGAATAGACATAGAAACTATTTCGATCAAAGCCTGGGCTCAGGCTATTGCGGCTATTGAACTTTGAAACCCATTGAAACCCATTGAAACTTATGAAACCTACCATGAATCACCAGCCTCAGAGCTTCTCAAGCTCGCTCTGTCTCGAGCACACACCGCACACACGACAGCCGCGACAGTTGCACCGCGCGCCTTTGGCGATGATCCAATCAGCCACCACACCGCGCTTGTACACCTGGGACTGCCGGCGACCACTTTTGGAGGATCACGACCCACGACCGACCCGTGGTCAATTGATGGTTCAATAAGCCATGATTAACGATGGTGAATGGGTTTCAGCCGGGGTTTAAATGGTTTAGGAACTACAAAGAAGTGGGATGTCGCCCTAAACACCAAGGTTATGAACCACAACTACTAAATTCTTACAGCCACTGGGATGATCCTCCACGCTATTCCCCAAGTGGCCGCCAAGAAACCTGTGTGATGAAACTGGGTTCAAACACACCTCAGTGCGGCTGCGCATCCCGGCTTGGCTTGAGATCGAATCCCAATCATCTTCCAAACCGGTCCAAAGAGTCCAAACCCCATAAAACATGATGCGCTGATTGCAAGCAATGCTTAGCATATTTCAGCTGACACCCCCAAAATCAATGATATATATCTTTCATGTTTGGCCGGAGATCCATGTCTTATTTCTGGAATCTCCATATTTTTCCACATGAAAATAGGAGAATTACCCCAACATCTAGTCATTTCATCGCCCAAGAGGCGAGAAATGTTGTTCTCCAGCGTCTTTGGGTCGTTCGCTGCCTGCCGTTTCCCAAGAGCATGTCGAAATATTTGAGGTTTTCTTGAGTCATAGGGGATCCCTAAAACCTATACTAAAACCATAGGTAAACCTATACTAAGTCATGGTCATCCATGACGACTGGATGAGAACTGGGGGTACCCCCATGACTAAACGGACACCTCCATATATTTGATCTGGGTCCAAGAATGACTGTGTTCCCTCCGATCATCGACCATTTTGGTCCAGCTGGCTTCGGTGGATACAGTGGATATGACGGATATGAATCCAAATCGTGAAAAATGGCTGTGGTGTCAAAAATTTTCAGGCCCAGGTGATCCGACGATGTAGGGCCGTAGGGGTATCGAATTTTGGCCACTCCCACCTTTGGGTGGGGCCGCCATTTTTTTAGCTACGGAGCACCAGAAACTATTGGCTTTACCCTCTGGTAAACTGTCCAAAAAACGAACTGGAAAATCACCATGCTATTTTTATGGGTAAATCCACTATTTCGACTGGGCCATGGCTTCAATGTCGCTATTTTGACATAACCAGAGGGTACCATGGTTTACCACATCAGCTCCCAAGTCTCCATGGCGGCCCTTGAGGTAAATCCCCATAGGCGGTCACACCAGATCGTATGAATCTTATATGGTTGGTTCTATCCCCATTATTTCCGCCTAGTGGTTGGTATATGTTGGTATTATATCAAAAATATCCAAAAATGACCACCATCATCATATGTCCGCAGAATCTATGACTTCTCACAGATATATGAATCCATGCATATTCAGCAATCCATTAAACATGGTTGCTTCTCTCCCCACCTAAACTGGAGGTTTCCTAAACTAGGGCTACCCCAAATCATCCAAGCCATGGATGACCATGACTTATATAGTATATATTGAAACCCATGGTGACTTGGGGATCCTGCATAACGACTTAAGAAACCCCTATGTAGAAGTAGTTGTTTTTACCAAAGCTAACCAACTATGATGGTTATAGTTATAGTTGTATATATATATTATATATATAGTATATTAGAGTTAGATTCTCAGTATATTCCCAATATATTCCATGTTAACTTGGGGATCCCACATTTTAAGAAACCCCGTTTCTGGTATGATACCACCCAATCGCCTCATGAGCCAAGAAGGTTTCGACCAGCAGCAGACCAAGGCCCCAGACGGAGACCAAGAATTGGGCCTGGCGGGCCGTGCTGAACGGCGTGTTTAGATGGTTCCTATGTAAAGGGGACAGTGAAGATGGAGAAAACATGGAATTAGACCGGAAAAATGACCAACTTAACTTTTTCGTACTCATTGAGTGATTTCAGGTTTATATAAGTGAAGTATCAAGTATGAGTAAATGAATTGTCTAGCGTGCGGGGAAAATGGCCCTGGCGACCCATTTTTCAGGGGGCGCTACAGTGCCAAACAAACCCATAGATATGGATGGTTCGAAAGCCTGTCATCAATCGCCTATGGCTGAGACCCATTGAAATCGTGTCAAACATCCTACACAACAGCATGCAAACATCAAACCCGAGAACAGGAAAAAAAACGAATCTGGCTGATTTTAACGAGATCTAACGAGTCACGAGTCACCAGGTGGATAGAGTTGCCTTTTGCCGCAAGATATACGTGATGTTCAACTCTCATTTGCCGTCAGCCATGAGCCAAGTCGCCACATCCACCCAAATGGCACCATTCCAGAAGGTGTAGCTCACAGCCTCAACTCATCAGGCCATCATCATCCAATTCGTAGGGGTGAAAATAAAAGAATGTGTGAAACCACCAAGATTGTTGTTTGTACTTATTGTACTGGTTGGTGTACAAACATCATAGTACAAACAGTTTTGTTCTTCTTGTTGTCGCTGTTGAATGTGTCGATGATGTTGATGATGATGCTGTTGTATGGTTCAGTGCAAGTAGCGGTACCCAGTCCCGGTAATGACAATTTATCCGAAAACCCCCAAAAAAACTCCATTCGCTAACACAAGCAGGGAGATCCACCCCGAGAAATAGCACGAGAAAATCTCTGTCCATGGGTCCCTGGGTTGCTGCCGTCTTCTTGGACAGCCAAGCAGTACCCCTCTCGCCAAAAGCAATCAACTATAATCAACTAAGCATTGCTTGTTGAACATCAGCACCTGAACCCAAAACAAGTCGATGTTGGTCGATGTTGGCCGCATCTTCCCGACCGGAAATGGAGCCACTTTAACAGTAGCAATGAGCCGACGCATCTTCGGGGTACCAATAATCATTATCCGACATGGTAAACATACAAAAAGCTATTGAAAATGGCCATAGAAATAGTTGCTTTGCCCATTAATAGCATGGTGATTTTCCACAGTTATGTAAACGCTTACCAAAGGGTAATATAATTATCAAATGATTCTTACTGTTTGAAAAAAGCAGGTTTTTCTTATAGGGAGGTTTTTGAGTTACGAGTTTACACAAGCAAATGACGGATTTCTACAGGTGAAAAAAAAAACGAATTGTGTGCAAAAAAGATTGAACAACTGATTAATTATTCCAAAGTTGGCAAGCATTTCAAAAATGCTTCAACCCGGTTTTTCGGGTACGCCCGGTTCAGAACAGCTACCTGGCAGTCCAGCTGGTGGTCGCCACATTTCTGAAACATCCCCAGCTTCAAAAAACGTCCAAGCAACGGCGCGAATGGGCACGCACCTTGTCCATGCTCGGATCAATGGGGGCACAATGATTACCCGACATGGTAAACATACAAAAAACATATTGAAAATGGCCATTGAAATAGTGGATTTTCCCATTAATAGCATGGTGGATCTTTCCATGTTTATGTTAGTTTACCGGAGGGTAGTGATTAATGTTGAATTGGTACTTAGTGGTTCATCCCACGAATCCTAAGTAGGTTATAACCCTGGTTACAAGTGGATTAAGCCTACCTATCCCATTTATAACCAGGCTTATAACCTACTTACCAAGTGGGATGAGCCACCAAGTACCCTCCTAAATGGAGGTTTAATCGAAACACCTTATCAATGGTAGAATTTCTATTACCGGGTTTGATTCCCGGAGGGTAAATGATTGGATTTAATGGGTATTACATATTAATGGTACTTGATAAATGACTGGAAATGATTGAGTTTTGATGAAATTACTGGGTATGAATGAGGAAATTAAGCCGGCAAAAAGTGTTGCTTTTTATATAGCCGTGTATGAAATATTCTCAGATCTACAAAAACAAAAAAATGCATGACTTGTCCTACCAGTACCGCTCAGGAAGGTTTGATGCAGCGGGACGGTCCCGGAAAACATGTTGAACCATATTGAACCTGATGTTTCCAAGTGCCCACTTTGAAGAGACAATACATAATATTTATTATTTATCATATTCAAAACCAATGTGCTAAACTGCGAAACTCACATGGCCATGAAGGGGAAGATTCGCAAAACATCCTGACATGGTACGGTTTTCGTGGCCCCGTTTTCTCTAACAAGCATATGCTGTACGAGCGATTTACATACTACTCCAGCAATGATGACCAAAGATACTCGAATTCCAACATCATTACCATTCTGGCAACATTCTTGGGTGTCAACTATCTAATTAGCGGCTTTGACTCATTCCCACACATATTGTGTATTACATATGATGTATATGTTTTATGTCCATGTTTTACATCAAATGTGTATATCACATATATATATATATATACATATATACATATATACATATATACATATATATATATACATATATATATATATACATATACATATATATATACGTATATATATATACACAGAAATATACATATATACATATATATACATATATATATATACATATACATATATGTATATATACGTATATATATACATATGTATATATATACGTATATATACATACAGTATATATATATACATATATATATATATACATATATATATACATACATATATATATAATATATACACAGGATATATGCATATATATTGTACGTACATTCTTTTATTGGTATGTACGTGGTTTTGATTTACATGGGGAGTTTAGCAGTAGTTTCGAGAGGCGGTACCGTGTGTATATATATAATATAGCGCAGTATAGCGCAGTAAGGATTATTTTTAGTTTGATTGAACTTAACTTCAAGGATGGCATTCAAGGAATAATGCATTCAGAATGCATTCAGAATGCATTCAGAATGCATTCAGAATGCATTCCTAGCTAAACCTCAGAACCTAAGATTCCCCCAATACTCTTGAACAATTCTTAGGTATACTTAAGAACCTAAGAACCTAAGATTCCCCCAAGACTGTTGAGAAAATCTTTGGTTCTTAGGTTCTTGGGTTTACCTAAGATTCCCCCAAGACTCCTGAGCAAATCTTAGAGCTTAGATTTGGGGAAGAATGCATTCTGAATGCATTCCTCTGGAAATGCATCCATCTTGAGTTTCCCTGAATTAAGTAGGTGGGACTGATTAATGATTAAGCTCGCATGAAAAAAAAAACAACAACTTTGCGGTCTTTTCCCCAAGCCTTAAAAAATAATGGACACACTGTGAATTAGTACAAAGGATGATCAAACGAGCCTTTTTCTCTTGAAGAAAAAAATAATTGACAAGAGCAGACTTTTTCAAAGTACTACAGTACTGCATCGAATGAGGCGTTCTGTGCCAAAGCAATGTTGCATTTTCTTGAAGGAATGTCCCACCATGTTTAAGGAATGTATCACTCTTTCCAATGGAAAATGCAAAGCAGTAAGGCTACACTACAACTCGTTTCTAAATATACTACTGTTTCAAGTGAATACTGCATAGACTAAGAGAGCTTTCTTATTGAAGTAATTCTGTGCTCTTTCAAGTCACTTTTCTTCAAAAGCGGCACTGTTGATTAATCTCACAGACTCACAGAGGTAGCATTTGTGTTTTTTCCCCACCTGCCAGGTGAGGGTTGTTAGATTTTATGTCAGTTGCCTCCTCCTGCCTCCTGCCTCGTCCTCCTCCTCCTCCTCTCCTCCTCGTCCTCCTCGTCCTCCTTGTCATCCTTGTCGTCCTTGTCGTCCTCGTCGTCCTCGTCGTCCTCGTCGTCCTCGTCCAACTGCGACCCGCGATCCACAGTGTTCTCTGTCGGACCTCAACCACGACCATCCACGCCCAGTGTGCCCTGCCGGACCTCAACCACGACCATCCACGCCCAGTGTTCCCTGCCGGACCTCAACCACGACCATCCCCGCCCAGTGTTCCCTGCCGGACCTCAACCACGACCATCCACGCCCAGTGTTCCCTGCCGGACCTCAACCGCGAGTATCCACGCCAAGTGTTCCCTGCCGGACCTCATGTAGGAAGATATGGGACAAAGAATGTGCAGAAGAAAGTTAGAAAGAATGTCAGAAAGAATGTGCCAGATAGATATGCCAGAAGATATGCCAGAAGATATGCCAGATAGAATGCCAGATAATATGCCAGAAGATATGCCAGATAGAATGCCAGATAGAATGCCAGAAGATTTGCCAGATAGAATGCCAGAAAATATGCCAGAAGATATGCCAGATAGATATGTCAGAAGATATGCCAGAAGATATGCCAGAAGATATCAGTGCCAGAAGATATGCCAGAAGATATAGATATGCAGATAGAATGCCAGAAGATATGTCCAGATAGAATGCCAGAAGATATGCCAGATAGAATGCCAGAAGATTTGCCAGATAGAATGCCAGAAGATAATGCCAGATAAGATGCCAGAAGATGCCAGATAGAATGCCAGATAGAATGTCAGATATGATATGCCAGGAGTGCCAGAAGATATGCCAGAAATATTGCAGAAGATATGCCATAGAATGCCAAGATATGCCAGTGCCAGATAGAATGATAGAATGCCAGATAGAATGCCAGATAGAATGCCAGAAGATATGTCAGAATATATGCCAGAAGATATGCCAGATAGAATGCCAGATAGAATGCCAGAAGATATGTCAGATAGAATGCCAGAAGATATGCCAGATAGAATGCCAGAAGATTTGCCAGATAGAATGCCAGATAGATATGCCAGAAGATATGCCAGATAGAATGCCAAATAGAATGTCAGAAGATATGTCAGATAGAATGCCAGAAGATATGCCAGATAGAATGCCAGAAGATATGCCAGAAGATGCCAAAACTAGAATGTTATGTCAGATTAGAATGCCAGAAGATTTGCCAGATAAATGCCAGAAAATATGCCAGAAGATATGCCAGATAGATATGCCAGAAGATATGAAGATATGCCAGAAGATATGCCAGAAGATATGTCAGAATATATGCCAGAAGATATGTCAGATAGAATGCCAGAAGATATATCAGAATATATGCCAGAAGATATGCCAGATAGAATGCCAGAAGATATGCCAGATAGAATGCCCAGAAGATATGTCAGATGCCCAGATAGAATGCCAGATAGAATGCCAGATAGAATGCCAGAAGATATGTCAGAATATATGCCAGAAGATATGCCAGATAGAATGCCAGATAGAATGCCCAGATAGAATGCCAGAAGATGCCAGATAGAATGCCAGAAGATATGTCAGAATATATGCCAGAAGATATGCCAGATAGAATGCCAGATTTGCCAGATAATGCCAGAAGATATGCCAGTGCCAGAAGATATGCCATATAGAATGCCAGAAGATATGCCAGATAGAATGCCAGAAGATTTGCCAGATAGAATGCCAGAAGATAGAATGCCAGAAAATATGCCAGAAGATATGCCAGATAGATATGCCAGAAGATATGCCAGATAGATATGCCAGAAGATATGCCAGATAGAATGCCAGAAGATATGTCAGAATATATGCCAGAAGATATGCCAGATAGAATGCCAGATAGAATGCCAGAAGATATGTCAGATAGAATGCCAGAAGATATGCCAGATATGCCAGAAGATATGCCAGATAGAATGCCAAATAGAATGTCAGAAGATATGTCAGATAGAATGCCAGAAGATTTGCCAGTAAGAAAATGTATAAATGTCATGGTGGGGATCACACGAAGTAAAGTAATTTGTTTAAACAAAGACAGTTTACATCTTTTTATTTCAAGTATGCACTATTACTATCAAAAAATGGGTGTATATAATGACTCTAGAAAGCATAACGTAACAGTACTTGTGCCACATGTGCAGTGTTTTCTTTTAAAAAATCAACCTTGTTTTTCAACAAATGTAGTTTTACTTAGAGAAACACATGCATGTTCTTCAAAGTAATGGCTACATGTTTGAAGATAGTCTAATTTTACTTGAAGATATACTGCATTTGATTGAAAGATGCCTTGTATGTTGCAGGGACTTTTTGTGCAACATGCTTCTTCCAACATGCTTCTTCCTTCCAGAAGCATGGTATCAAGTACGTTATGAAATGGATGTGCGCTTATGTTTTAAATTTAGCAATGCATATTTACATGTTGGGGAAAAAACAACTACCTGATCGAAATGAAGAGCGATGGCTTCAAGAAAGGTGACTTTCTGCAAAGGAATGCTACCTATTGAAAAGGAATACTCTTTTTGCTTGAGGAATGCTACACCTTTGAATAAAAGTGTCTGTTTGTAAAGCCTGCTCGTCAATTAAGACTGTCTCTTCAAGAGAAAGATGCATATTTGATCGTCTTTTGTAGTCATTTCAGCGTTTTCACTGCCTTTTTCAGGTTTGGGGAAGAGACCGAAGATTTTTTTCACGTGGGTTGAATCACTACTTAAGGGAAACTTTGCAGAGAGGTGGAGCTACTACTTAAGACATATTTTGGAAGGGCTAAGAATTAAGAGGTCCCAGGAGCTCCCTGGAACCAAGAACCAAGAAACAAGACTCCCCCAAAATTTTCTGTGCAATCTTGGTTCGTGGTTCTTGGTTCCAGGGAGGTCCTAGGACCTCCTAAGACCCACACATCCAAAGTATTGAGCCACGGCAGTAGTACAACAAGAGACAGAAGCTACATAGTAAGGCCTCCATCATCAGCACTGACTGCTCAAATAACAACAACTTCCACCATTCTATACACCGTCTGCAGAAAACAAAGTCATATCTTGAAAACCTAAGCTTTAATTAAAAGATAGGCACCTGGGGGGCTAGCATATGTATATAATTAATTATAATTATTATATTGGACATATGATCACATATCATATATACCCTCTGGTAATTTAACATAGCTATTGAACATGACCATTTATAGTGGATTTTCCCATGAAAAATTGTGATTTTCCATAGCTATGTTAAATTACCAGAGGGTATATACCAGAGGGTATATGTACGTAATGATATATACACAATCTAAACATCAACATGATGAATGTCCCACAAAACCCCTGCGCATTGCTTTATCGGGGGCGCTTGAAGAGGAAGAGCGCGTCGGGCTGCACACGTTCCGAGGCGTCCAGGACGGCGGAGAAGAAGTTGGGCGAGATGATGTTGGGAATACAACAGACCTGGCAGTGTGTCAAAAGCCATGGAATCCCCTTTTTTGTTCACATCAAGTCATAGCTGGGATTTATGGATGTGAATAACACCCTAAAAATGGTACTTATAGCTATTGATCCATAGCCATTCTATGGAAAAAATGATGGCTGTTTGATGACACAAAAAACCCTGGGAGATCTGTGGAGATTGGTCAGATATGGTCAGATGATCATATTGTATAATGTCAACCCCGGATTAATAAACCATGGTTTATTAATTAGGGGGGTACCCTTCCAATAGTCATAATATGATACTTAAATGGTACCCTCCCAATTAAACAATCTAGGGGTTTATTAATCCAGGGTTGACATTAATAATGATCCATGTGTATAAATGATATATCCATGCGATGTGTATGAATCAATGAATACTGTATATTACATACTTTTTTTGTACGTGTTTGTTGGGTTAAGTTGCGTCAATTTGGGTTATATGATCAAGGGTTTTTTATTCCGTAAACACATGCATTTCACCACTAAACAAAGGGGGCTCAACATATTTTGGACCTGCTTCCGCTCAGTTTGGCATATTTACTGTAGCAATAAATACAGTAATCCTATGTTGGGGTGGCAACAAACCTGGCAGCTGCGAATATCGCAAAGGAACATCCACGATTTGTACACATAGCTTTGGGGATTTTTCAGTAGATTTTCACGTTCAGCGTGTAACAAAACAATACAAAACAATTGTAATCTTGGGTGATTGTTGGTGAATCTCTCTAGCCCCATTCAACCAGCAGCCAGTAGAACTCCATAGACCATGGAAGTATCAACCACCATGAGATGGAATTCCAATTTCAGACAACAGGAACTGGTGGCCACCCCTCAACCGAAATTACAAGCAAAGCACCAAAAGACAACAGTCAAAAGTGAAAACAAACCTGTTTAACCCGGGAAGAAACCTACCAAATATGACAATACCAACACATTCCAAATAGTTGTGACTCTATGACAATACAAATACCCTCTGGTTTTTCCTAACATAGCTATGGAAATCACCATGGAAATCACCATGTGTAGTAGGTGGATCATCAATGGCCCATTTGAAAAATGTTCCATGTGAGAAACTCAACGTCTGCGGTCCAGCCTGAATCATGGCATCGAAGATTGGCGGTTCCTGGCAGATTTTTGGGAGTATCCAAATCTAGACGCCAAGGCGAAAAAGCTGGGCCCCATACTTCGGGGTGCAACATGGCTTATGACTGAGTATAACTATGGGAATAACCATGGAATAAGCTTCATAAGTTGGGATATAACTTGATATAACCCCTAGAACTGTGGTTAAATAATGTCAAAAATAACCCACTTATTAGTTGAACTGCCCTCAATCCAATCATTTTCATCATAGTCCTCAATATCAGATGGCTAAATTAGGGATGAATTCCCAATTCTATCCAATTGTCAGATTCAGATTCAGGTGATTAAGGCCTTTCTCCAAATCGGGGTACCCCAACAGTTCTCCAATTTGGCAGCCCGAACCATGCCTCGCATTGGGTGATCTTCTTATGCCACTCGGGTTCCTTGTATTTTTCATCGTCATAACCTCAGCGTTGACGAAAAAAGTTGAAGGACTTCGGGCGGAAACCATGGCCAATCTGTAGCAAAAGATACATTGAGTTGTACTATTGTGGATGTTGGATGGAGATATGGATATGTGTGTATAGCATTGAGATACATTAAGATACAGGTAATGATGGATAAAATATGAACAGATATTGGATCTTGGATCTACACTAAACTACATCCATCCGGGATGGTCCACATGTGATCATCTTAGCAGAGCATGTTGACTACCGTTCTGCAGTCAACCATCGTGGGGCTCTATGCGAATAATTTTACTAATGTCTATGGGTTAGTTAGCTGTTCGAAATTATTTGTGCTATGTCATTTCTTAAGCTTTAGCTACGCCATGTTTGTGGGTTTCACCGCTTCACCATCCATTTTTGGGCCAGAAGCCTATAAAAGGCTTGACCTACACACCCAGTCTCGACCCTTCCCAACTTGCACACTTCGAGATGCTCCACTCTTTCTCTGATTCGTAGCGAGTGTAAAAGCCTTGGAATTGAAAAAGTGGTGAGCGCGGCCGCGAATGAACCCACATGTGTGGTCAATTTCAGTATTGGTCACAATTTTGGTAAACCATCTAATCTGGGAGGCTCAATCATTTTGAGCCAAACATGGTTCAAAAAAAGGCTTACAGCTTCCTGGCCCCCTGAAGAACCTGGAAAATCCCGAAGGTGCAAAAGATTGACGTCTTCTCTGTCTGTTTACCATCAGAAGGCCGAAAACAACCGCCCAATTGCGCAGAATCCAAGATACGACCCACTCGAAGAAAAGGACTCAAGGCTCTCCTTGGATATCTTGGCAACTGCAGGTTGCTTCGAAACACTCCAAAGAACACACGACCTGGCATACTCAGAGGGGGTTCACAACCGCAATGGTCTATCTGAAAATAGGCTATGCCCTCTGGTAAACAAACATAGCTATTGAAAATGGCCATTCGTAGTTGATTTACCCATTAAATACCCATTAAAAATTGTGATTGTCCATATTTTTTGTACGTTTACCAGAGGGTACCCCCATTAAAAATGGTTGTTTCAATAGGGAAATCATGGTGAACCCCATCTGATTTAGCAGTACAGCACCTTGAGGCGCCGACACCAGCCTGCTCCTGGAGGCAAAACTTACCTTGGTCTAAGGCGTTTTTGCAGCCAAGCGAAAGCCCAAAGTTAGATGCACTTAGTGATACCCAAAAAGATAGAACATGGGAAATTCACCACTATTGTAGACATGGATTTCACTTTTCTATCTTTTTGGGGATGTTATAGTTATTATAATTTGGTGTATTATTGGATCTGTTCATATTGGGAGCCTTGGGGACCCCTAAAACACAGCGGCACACTGCTTGAGTAGCACCATCCACTCGGCCAACCGGGTTCCTTGTCCAATTTCCCCCAGTAACATCACCTCTCAGAGGGGACTTTGCCATTTAACCACCGTTGAACCACTATTGAAGTACCCCACATAAATATCATCTATCATCACCCTGTTTCGCGTGAAAGGTCGGGGGAATCTGACAGGGCACCCGCGAGGGAAGAGGATGCCACCCTTCGCTGATCACTTTGGGTTTGGAGGTCACGCTCTGCAAAATGCTGGCGGCCGCCTTGCTCCGGCGGCCGATGACGGCTGGCGATGTAGCTTCCATGTTTCAGATTGCGTTGGAATCGAATCATGTAAGGATTTCCATCGTCACCACCACCACCATCATCATCACCACCATTTGACCACAATCATCATCATCATCATCATCACCATCACCATCACCATCACCATCACCATATCATCATCATCATCATCATCAATAATCATCAGCATGAGCGACTCCCAAAATATTGGATAGCGCTTAGAGACTTCAAAAAAATGTATGATTTAATGTTGTAAACCCCAAGGACTTGCCCATACTCAGATGGAGACCCCATGAGGAACGGTGCTGAAGCAAGGAAAAAAATGATGGGTAAAAGTCAAGGGGGTATGATGGGAATTTCAACAACAATCATAAGCGACATTGAGTTCATATGAGCAACGGACAATATGGATCAATATGGTACATTACCCGGAAGTGCCATGAGCAAAACTGGCTCCCCCCCCTGCACCTATCGGTTGTGACGGTCTCGTGAAGGCAGGGAAAGTTTGAGGCAGCCCTCTACTGGTCTGTTCATGCGACAATATTGTCAGGTACTCGTATGTATGTGGATATTGGTGTCGAACACGGAGAAGCCTATATGAAACAGGGTTGCTCCCAACACCCCAGGTACAAGGGGGGGTGGTAAAATGGCCAATTTACCCCTTGTGGCTATCATTGACCTGGAATGGGTTTCAGCAACCCTGTGAATAAAACAAACAAGAAGACACTTGCATTTCATGCCCTCAAACCAAATTTCAAAACCAATCATGTTTATTCGGACTCCATGCATCAAAGAGCTTCACAGAACCTTCAGAGGCTTGTTGGCCTGTCCTTATGTACATGGGAAAAAAGATATACATACATACCCATAAACCAAATCATAAAATTGATCATATAATACATATAATACATATAATATCGTATAATATATATATATATGTTATTGGCAGTAGACCCAAAATGGATTCACCTGAATCCTTGCCACGACCTCCAGGTCAAACGCACGGACTCTTTCTCCACTCCATTGCGCTCGTGACTCCACGAAAGGTTCCTAAGGGATTTGGGCCGCATGGCCAGATGAAGCAATGAGGTACCTGCAGGATGCTGTGGCACTAACACTCACTATACTTAAAAGGAAAAAGAGGGAGTTGCCACTCCTTATATCACAAAAACACTACGGAAACTTTCCAAGTGCCAGACATCAAGCGATCATTCACTTCGGATTCTACTTCACAATTCGCAAGGTGCTGGTGCCGGGGATGAAAGGCAATTGATCTTCCCCTTGCACTTCAGCTGAACGCACACAGAGATAGGAGGCCAAATCTAGCAAAAGGCCTTTGGCTGAATCGGTCTGAGAGATGACCCACTTCACATATCGGGCCTTCTCCTGATCATGGACAGCTTCAAAGAGCTCACAGTAGGACAACTCAGCTTGGTCGCGCTTCTTCATGTACTTTCCAAACTGAATCACACTGCGTTCCCACGTCTGAACATCGATGACATCTTGAGGCAGATAGATGGGCTTACCGCGCGGTGTCACACCAACTCGTGTTGGCTGAGGTGGTCCTTCCATCTGATAGGGAACTTCAGCGGTAAGGACACGCTTGGAGCCAAACTCTTCCATCAGATCATCTCCTCTACGTTTGGAGGCGTCAGACATAGACTGGGCTTCCACGATTGAAAAACTTCCCGGAGTCGATGGCTCTACCTCCTCAGAGGAAATGCCAGCACGGGCCAAAAGTTCTTGCAACAGAACCTTCTCCTGAGGGGTCAAGGGCTGCGAGCTCTGACTCTGAGACATCACTGAAGCAAAAACGGTCAAAAGGGAAAAATGGCGCAAATCAAAATCCTGTACATGACTTGAACCAGGTTGCTTGGCACGCAAACTTTACCACCCATGGTAAACATAGCACAAAACTGACTATACACAAAACTGGTGAGTAACACTCTTGAAGATCTCAATGTTTGCACTGAGATCGCGCATGCTTTTGGAACTGTGAGTCGTTTGTTTGGAGTTTTCTGTTTTGAACACGTCTCTGCCTCTCGGCTGCTTGCAACTTCAACACGGCTTCTTCAGAACTTATTTGGTATGTGTTATTTCTGATGCATGCCCTCAAAAGATCAGTTGGATCTCCAGCGCTTTTTGTCAAGGAGTCGGCCAGCATTCGGTTGGTCGGGACCCAACGGATTGATGCACCTAATCTTGACAGACTTTGGCGGAGAATAACAATGTCTATTGAGGTTCTACGATCTTCAACAGAAGTAGGAGAAGAGACAGCTATGAGGTGATCATACAGGGACTTGCAGTCTGTGACTATTACTGGAGTGCGATTACGCAAGTGCTGAGCATACTCTCTAATCTCCCCAATTCCATCAATTGCTTCGGCTAACAGCAAGGAAGTCCATTCCAATGTGCCTGTCGCGGCTACCATGGACTGGGCTTCGGCTGCAAGTGTTGATCCTACGGCACGAGACAGTTTAAAGGATTTCCAGACAGCCGGGGTCCAACTGGTTTCTCTTCCAGCATCGAGATCAGTAGTTGAAAAACCAATGATATAACCCGCTTGAGTGTGAACTCCTACATTTGCCCATGCTGCATCGGAATGACAACACAACCGCAGCTTCTGCACAGGAATTGGCTGAAACGTCACTTCCAAATCGGAAAACTGTTTGGCTCTTCTGATGATGTTGTTGGCTTCGAGAAGATGATGAACTGTTGGATCAGGAAAGGATTGCTGGCTAATGCTAGTCTGTGCTGCTATGTCAGGTCGGCTCTGTGTCGCCAGCCAATTGAGACTGCCATTGATGCCTCTCAAAATGCTGACTTCTTTTGAGTCAAGCTTGGCACTACGATCAGCCTTTCTTCGTTGAGGAAGGTGCACCGGTTTCAAGGCTTCAGCAAAGTTTTTCTGATTCATGTGAATGGCCATGGTAACAGGGTCTTGTTTGTAGTGGGCTCCACAAAATTCACCTTCATTTACTCTCCACTTTCGGTAGGGAAATCTGTGTCTCAAGTAAGCCAAAGCCTTTTGATACTTTTCTCCACTGCCTCCGGTGGCTGTGTCATCTACATGAGCACCTAAGGCACCTACCAAACGACCGTTCTCTTTCAACCAGTAAAGACAGTTGTCGAATTTGCTACGCTCAAACCCAGCCTTCAGCACTTCGTCATTGAACACTTTGTACCAAGCAGCAGGAGCATCGTTTTGACCATAAACGTTGCCTAACACTTCCAACAGACATTCTTCATCAACCCCAGGAATTCCTCCAGCTGGAATGCGAGCGTATAATGGTCGGTAACACCTAGGTAAGGGTCCCGCTTCAAGGAATGCTCCCTTGACGTCTCCTAACTGCAGCTGCCATCGGTGAGATGACATGAGTTGGAACAAGACTGTGCGTCCCATCTGAGACAATGTGGGTGATTGCAGCTGTCCGGCTGTGGCTTTTGCGGACAGATCTGGGTCAAGGTGTCCTTGGAGACACCATCGAGCTTTCACCTTCCAATGATTGAGATTGTTGGGATCAACAGCTTGTCCAGTTTCTACAAGGTCTTCTTCAGGTTTCTTAACAATGACAAAACGACTACCCATGATTCGGTGAGCTTGGTGTCTACGGATCCAAGCGGACTCCTTGGCAGGGACCACACGGACAGCGCCCTTATCAATGAGAGTTTGCCATTCAGTGACCTTGGCCTGGTCGACCTTTGCCTGAAGAAAAGGTTCATTACGGCTTGAAGGGATCTCTTTCTGTGCTCGTTTGTTATAGTACTGGTTGATGAACACCTCCACTGCGTTGTCTTTGGCATCACGGAAACTCTCCCAAAGTTCACAGGACTCTGTGACAGAGCAAGCTGCATGTTCCACGTACGCAACTCCATGTTCTACGCAGTCAGCAGAAACCTCTGTCTTTGGTACTTTGGCAGATGGCGCGTCAGAAGTCTCAGCAGCTTCTCTCTTGCGTTCAGATCCGGTGGTATCATCAGCCATAACTGTTTGTTCACTGAGTTGGGGAACAACCTCATTCATCACTTCAACAAAGTCATCATGTTTCATTGCTGCCGGTCGGAACATGGTGAGAGGGCCACTCTTAGCTAGGATACGAGACCTGCGGACTGGGCCATACGCAGATTCATCGGCAGGCTGAGGCAGAACGGCACTTGAACCACTTGCTGAACTAGATGAACTACCACTGGCTTCAGGGACATCACCAGACTCTGCATTGACTTTTGGGGACAGCTCTTCACTTGACAAGGGAGACTTATCAACTGTTTCGGCTGCACGACTGGGTGGTTCAGGTGCTGGTGCTATCTCAGGCCGTACGGATGGAGGGTCAGGCATTGTTGATACAGCTGGCTGCACAGGCGGGACTACGTCTTGCTCTTGAGGAGGGTATGCTTGAGAAATCAAGTCAACATACTGAGAACTGCGAAAGGTTCCTCCCTCAATCATGTCTTTGATACCCAAGAGCTCAGTGCCCTGTGTCTCAATCAGCGCCTTCTCCTCCTGAGTTGCCAGTCGAACTTGCTCTGGAGCACATCGGAGAATGTGGTTGCGGTGAGCAATCACTACATTACGACCAATGAGTCCAAGAACAACCCCACTACCATACCATTTACCCCCTTTAGATAACAGCCCTTGGTGCCACTTTTGATCCCTCCAATAAGCTACCACATCTCCCGAAGCAAAAGGCTTGTCACGGCGAGGGCGTGCTAACAAGGCTTTCCGCAAAGTGCGGTCATCATGCAATTCCAGCACCGCTTTGCGTGCTGTGTTGCGGAGTGCATATGCTCGGGCAATGGAGTCATCATGCAGGGAACAGGTATTGGGAACCACGGCTTGAGGCTCGCTCATCAAATCTCCGGGGATGTCAGGGTTCCTTCCGAACACTCTTTGGCTTGGGGTAAACCCGTAGCTCTGGATCATTTGGTTCTTGATGTGGGCATGGACAACACATTCCAACCACTCTTCTTTGCTTTGGGGATTGTGGGACTCCAAAACCTTAATGAGGACTCTATTGAACCAACCTCCATGGACTTCGGTCTTCCCTAGTTGCCAGTGGGCACCAGCAGCTGTCACATGTACATGCGTGCCCTCAAGTTCCACAGGTTCAACCATGGCTTTTCCCAGATTGGTTCTGGCAGGGTCCAAAATGACCTCCTTCGGTGGGCCAGCCCATTGGACCCAACGTTCCAGGTAAAGTTTCCGGATTAAGGCTGAGGTTTCAGTCTCAAAGAACGGCAACATCAATTGGTATGAGGTGGTATGGTCAACTATGTTCAGTGCAGATATCTTTTGATTGGGTTTCCATCCTTGCAGAAATTTGACATCTAAACCAATCCGCTGATTGAACTCAGTGACAGTGCTCACCTTACCTGGATTTGGAGCTGAAGGGGCTTTGCGGGCAGTGCAGAAATCACAACTGAGCTCACGTGCCAACTTGATTGCTAAGTCTGATGCCTGTCCATGCTTCAAAACCCTGACTAAATCTAAGTTACTGGGGTGGCCTAGATTTCGGTGCAACTTGATCAGCGACTGTTTGACCTTTTCAGGGTCTGTTTCTTCCTGCATGGCTAGGGCTTCAAACACGTTAGATGGTGGCATGTGGCAACAGTCCAGGCTACATTCCAAGACTTCTGTGGGACACCGAAAACGTGGGATGGTGTCAAGGACTGCTCTGACAAACTCAGGGGTATACCTCCCAGCATGATTGCTCACGGCTCCTATGCCTGGTTCAGAACCAGCGACTTGCCTGTGTTCTCGGTGATCTGGGTGGCTAGCTCCTGGGCAGTTGCGACGGAGTGCGCACATGTCAGCATGACTGCAAAGCAATCGGGTGCTCTTCCGAATGAGCCTTTTGGATTGGTTGCCACGGGCTGGCACATGCAAGTTAAAACAACACATGTGAGTGACGAACGAATGCAATTCTTCACACCATTGTGCAAAGTCTGGATCATCCCAATAACATGACGGGCTTGGGTGCTCAAACATGACTCTCCCCCCGGACTTGATCTGCTGACGTATGAGTCTTTTGCAAAAGGCCTTTTGTTTCTTCAACAATACCTTACGCCTCAACACCTCATGAACGGGCATGTGTAAGGAATTAAGATGGAACCAACCACCGGCATTGGTGCATGGGGGGCATATGACCATTAACTCTGGTGGGTGTTCTTGCATCTCCTGGCATACCCACTCCTGCGTCTTGGGATCATCCAAGTTCCAGCCCGTGGAAGTATCCATTGAAAGGCCTTTGAGGCCCATGCGTTCCACCTCTGGCACAAAACGCGGTGGACAGAACACTTCTACCACGGCATACTTCTTACCAACTTTGGACCTTTGGATTCCTGTGGACACTTGTTTCTTGAGGCTACGCAGCTGTTTTCTAGAGATACCCCCAGACTTCTTACTCACTGGGACCCCTTGGACGGCATGACAGACATCGGACTGACACGGCGGTACACCCTCGGACGAGGGGGCATTTGACATGACATCAGACCTCTTAACCTTAAGGTTATGATCGGGTGGATTATGTCTATCATGGGGCCTATTGTTAAGGTGATCATGGGGATGACAGGACTTCACGGCTGGCACCTCTTTGGACGTCAGATCCTCTGAGGGAATGACGGGCTCTTCAGGAATCTTGTCAATCTTTGGGAAGTCCATGACGTCCACCACATATTGTCCAGCAGCATTGGCCTTCAAGGCCATGTCAACCTTTCCATGAAACAGTTGCAAACGATCAGAATGGAAGTCAATGGTCGCTCCAAGCTTCTTCAGAGCAGGACGGGACAAAAGCAACGGGGCGTCCCCTTGAACAATGGCAGCTTGAATGGTTCCAAAGCGACCGGAAAGACCCACTGGCATCACCACTGTTGTGGATGTTGTTTCCCTGTCACCATTTCCAAATTTGAAGACATTGGTCTCAGATTTGAACGATGGAGTAAATCTTCCATCGGACTTCCAAAGCTGTTGAAACTGTTTCAGCGTTCGATCACCTATGATTGTCTTACCACATCCAGAGTCCAAAACTGCAAAGCCTGGGCTACTCACCAAAAATACCTCGGTGGTGACATCATATGTCGATTGATCCTCAGCGGCAGATCTGTTGTACGCTTGTTGTTGCAACCGTTGTACCAAGGTCAATTGACATCCCACCGAAGCCACGAATTCCGGTTGTGCCTCAGGCATCTGCTCCTCAGGAGCCACATATCCTGCACCACTTTCTTTGACTCCAGGCTTTGGTTGTGATGAGGAAGACGTCGATGATCCTGCAGGTGGGCTGGAACGCTTTTGGCGGCATTCTCTGGCCCAATGACCTACACGTCCACATCGATTGCACTTTGTCTTGCGCTTCATCTCTTCGATCTCAACTCGAAAAGATCTTTTGAGATCCTTTGCTTGGTCAAATCTTCTTGATTTCTGCAAACGTGCTATCTCAGCACGTTTTTCTTTCCAAGTAGACGCAAGAACTTCGGCTACCTTATTCTCCTGAAACTCGTCTGTTTCATCCAGTGCAAAGTCAGTGTCATGTTCAGCTAAAAACAGTTCTATGTCGTCAAAACCGTTGATCTCAATTTCATCTCCGGGTACAGCCCCAGTCTCATCGCCTTCTACCAAAGCTACTGCCTTGCGACGGCCCACAGTGAAATCGGGATAACAACTGCGCATGGCCTTGCTGACTTCTTCTCTTTTGAGAATGCCCAGTGACCTACCTTTCACAACCGCCTGCTGTTCCTCTGACAAGCCACTCCAGCGAAGAAGCACAAAACCTCTGGCCTCTTCAGGAAACTTAACGCCTCCCTTTCTTTCGCATCGGTCAAACAACTCAGTGGCCCTACTGATCCAGGCACGAAGAGATTCACCTTCCTGTGCTCTCAACGAAAACACCTCGTTCAAAACCTCAGCTAGTTCATCAGTTTGGTCTCGTTCGGGAAACCTGGCATCAAGCAGCTTCAAAAGGACTGTCTCACCACCGTCTTTCTGATACTCACTAGGCTCGACATGCTCCACTGTCTCCAAGGCCTTTCCTGTCAGGCACGTAAACAGATAGGGCCCACGGGCATCGGGCTGCAGCTTGTCGAGAGTCTTGAACTTGTTTGACAGCCAAAGCTTCCATCTACGATACTCTTTGTAGTCCTCCGACTCGCCAGAAAAGTAGCGAATCCCCCCAGAGCTCTCAGAGGAAGAAGCTCCGGAGGACATGGATGCTGTGCTCGTTGTCCCTCCTGGGACTTGAGTGAATTCCAGATTGCCGGTTTAAGCGGACCGGCTCCGCTACCAATGTTATTGGCAGTAGACCCAAAATGGATTCACCTGAATCCTTGCCACGACCTCCAGGTCAAACGCACGGACTCTTTCTCCACTCCATTGCGCTCGTGACTCCACGAAAGGTTCCTAAGGGATTTGGGCCGCATGGCCAGATGAAGCAATGAGGTACCTGCAGGATGCTGTGGCACTAACATATATATACCAGGTATTTGTGGGCTGCACTGACCACCGTCCTTTCCACAGAAACCCCAAAGGGCCTCCGGGAAATCTCGCAGAAGTTTGGCAATGTCCTTTCGCGGAAAATCCCAGTCGGGGCCAGAATTTTTTTCCCGCGAGAAAATCCTGGGTATGTTGACAGACAGATGCTTTCTATACCCGGCCTGGTAAACATATAAAAAGCTATTGAAAATGGCCCATTTAATCCATAGAAATAGTTGATTTACCTATTAATTCGATGGTGATTTTCCAGTTCGCTTTTTGTATGTTTACCAGGTTTTTTTTTTGTATCCAACAAAAAAGTGATGAGAAAGGGGTGAACTCCCAACAATATTGGATAATATTGAGATATGTGACCAGAAACATGATATATGGGTGTGTCTGAGAATGGGCTGTAGCAACATATTCTTTTTAAAAGAGAGTGATAAATATTCAGTGGATTGAGTCGGGTACCCGATCTTTCAATAGACCCACAGGGTGGCGACATTTGGATCATGTGCATTTTTGGAGGTGTGGTGAATGTCGGTAAATATCTAACACCTATAGACTATGGAGATCTATGGAGCATGACACAGCTTTTTCGTGAAACGGGATGATCTGGGACATCCAAGGCGAAGTCACTCTCGAAAGTGATCCGCGTCGCAACCAAGCGTATATATATATATATATACACAATATATATATATATATACATATATATAATGTATAATATATAATATAATATATATATACAATATATATACATATACAATATATATAAATGAATATAAAATCCAGTATGACACGGATCATTCACGAATTCAGGGCCATGTTCAAAGGATCAAGGCCCATACAATGCAGGATTAATTAATTAATTGTGATAAACAATGATTAACAATGATTAATTACCATAATCAATTGTGATATTGTAATAAAAATAGTTCATTATTAATCATTGTAATTAAAAAATGATTCAATTCTTTGTAATCGAGCCTGCATCACCCTCATTTGCAGCTAGATGACCCATCACCAATCCTACATCCCCACTACTTGGGGGTCCAGTGATTGTGGCCATTTTCTAGGGAAAAGTTTGGCAAATTCCTTCATTTTTCAGACCCAAACTTGGAGTCCCGCCTTGCTGCTCATCTTGTCAGCCAGGACCTGGAGAAATTGTGGCTAAACGATTTCTCCATTTCTTGGTCAAAAGTGAAAAAACTTTCATATGAGTTCTAAGTCATTGGTGAAATTGTCTTTTGATATGAACATGTGTTTTGTTATATACGTTGTCTTAAAACATAAAAATAAAACGAACTGAAAAATCCCATGGTGTGTTCAGCACCTCATGGCAATCCCCATTGGGAATTGCCATGGCCGCCTGGCGCCATCACTTTTTTGGGAAGCAAAAAACCCATGACCCGACCTCCGAGATGGTGCGATTGTCGTTCTCACCTGACAACCGGGCTAAGCCATGGCAATCCATGGCGTTTCGGGCGCAGCAAAAGCCATGCAGATGTCAGACATGGTGGTAAATGACTCCATGTGGCAAAGTATAAAAAGGCCCATGACTGGATGTTGGGATACAAATGGATAGAATTCTACTCAGGACAATCGTGGATAATGACACTTTTTGGATAGATAAAATATGAACCTTGTCTATCTCTTTGGTGGGTTGCTATAGGATAGTAATGCCCGTCTTAGTGGGGAAAGGGGAAAGGATGATTGGATGCCATTGGGACACATGGGTTCACCTGAGCACCATGAATGTGAATCTCTCTACCTTCAACCTAGTGAAACATGATGTCTGTGTTGGTTAACTGGTTACATGTCCATGGTTTTCTGCTTGCGTCCTTTCAGTCCTTTCAGTCCTTTCAGTCCTTTCAGTCTTCTGACAAAAAGCTACCGTTTTTCCAAATCAGAAATCAGACCCGTTTTTGGAGGGCTTCCAGGGCTCCAAGCCTATCAGGTGAGGCCCCCCGGTTCTGTTTGTTGCTTTATAAACCTATCAACTGTAGTTTATTCCCCATAAAACTCACAGAACTCACCGTGAATTTCCGAAAATTTTCCAAGTCAGCCGTGCGGAACCAACTCAGCCTTCCTTTGGGATCCCCCGATCTGGCGGCATCGGGTTCCACCCTGAGGCCAGAACTGCACAATTTATCCATGAAAAGGGGAATGCACTCCTCGGGCGGGCGAGGAAAACAGCAAGCCGGCTGATCTCCATGGCCTTTTAGGGGCAAATCCTTGCCGTTTTTATGGAGGTTTTTTCATGTTAAAATCATCGAACTAGATGGTGGATTGTCAAAAAAGCCATGTTTGTTTGAGTATCAGTGGGTAGATGAGAAGAAATCAATGGTCTCAGTCTTAGTCTGAAACCAACAAAAACTGGGTGTAAAATGATAAAGCACCCATCAGTCCACCATCAGATTCAATTTTTCAGGAAATTCATGAATTCCAAAATCCATCAAATTGGAGCAAGCTGACATTGGATGAATTCGAGCTACATTATCCTTTGCAGGGCGCATCAAGTCAGATCTTTGGTGTGAGCGTGATGCTTTCAGGAACTTGGGAGGTTCCTTTCACATGGATTACTCTGCGTCTTCTATTGCAAAACATATCCCACATGGTGAGACGATTTCAGTATGAAAGCACTGGAATTGAAAGTTCATAGTTTTTGAACATATCCAGCTTAGCACCGGACGGGAATTTTAAGTGCAACGAGATACATAATTCGTGTTTTTGTGCTAGGCTAGTTGTTCCCATTTTTGCTGTTTGTATGTATCCAAATTCTTGACGGCTACAGTGCTATCTTTGTGAGAATTTGTGCTTTAGTATAATTCCCATTCATTGCTGTGGCATTCACGCCAGGTTGATCAGAAGACTTTTTCTCTCAAAACGGGGCATATGGTTTTCTATCGCCAGTGAAGTCAGGATATAGCACCATTTTGGAATAATCTCTTGTGTGTGTGTGTCAATATATATATATAGATATATCCCGTTATATCCAATGAAAGATCCCTATGTTTGGGGTTGCAGTATTTGGATACATTTCTTCTTCGATTCAACCCACCATTTCTGTTTGGGCGTTCACAGCTGTGATGCAACCGGAGGACCCATAGGAACTTCACGACGCAAATAGCCATATTATTGGTACAATACTCAGTACAGACATGTATAAACCCAATTCATCATCATTGAGCCCTATTGATCATTAACCACGAATCATCATTCATACGAAAACTACTGTACTCATCATTTATTACTCATTCATCATTATCTCAGCAGTAATAACCAGTCATCCAGTCATATTTCCTGCGTCTGAATCCCGCGTCGACCTGAAATCCAACGCATGGAGGGTTTTGGGCCTATGCCCTACAAATCGGATCCAGTTCGTGTATAATCCATATATGGAATATATATATATATATACATATATATATATGTATATACCCTCTGGTTATGACTAACATAGCCATGGCATAGATGGCCCATAGAAATAGATGGTTTACCTGAGTTTACCTACTAAAAATGGTGATTTTCCATGGCTATGTCAAATAACCAGATGGTATGTAACCCATAGAATCCCATATATACTGGTTGGTGGTTGACCTATCCCTCTGAAAAATATGAGTTCGTCAGTTGGGATTATGAAATTCCCAATATATGATAAAATTTCATGTTCCAAACGACCAACCAGATAAAGATAGATGAAAAATGCTGATTGAATTCACCCATAGAAGGTGGGGATTATCCATATTATATATATATATGTGGGGATATTCCATTAATCTCAACGCCCCCTTTAAAAGGACCAACCTTGAGCGCCCGGTTTTCGCCGCGCTGGGCCCCATGCCGGCGCGCAGTGAATGAAGACGCGCAAGCTGCTGAGACCTCGATATCCAGGTTTGTGGTATATCATGGTTAACTGTCCCATAACTATGGAAAATCACCATTTTCATGGGAAAACTCACTATTTCAATGGATATAAATGGCCACTTTCAATAGCTAACTTTGTATGTTTACCAGAGGGTATATCATGGTTGATATCAGTCAATAGTTGTTTTCATAGCTGGTTGGTGGTTGCTGCTAACCCCTCTGAAAAATGATGGAGTTCGTCAGTTGGGATTACTATTCCCAATATGGGAAAAAAACATGTTCCAAACCACCAACCAGATATTGACTAAGCTATCAATGTTCATAAATATCCATTAATACAATGATATATATATATATAGATGTGTTAACATCCATTAATAGTAATTAAGCTTAAGAGTGATTGAGAGTTATTAAGAGTAATTGTGAATGATTAATGGTTAACATATGGATTACCATTAATAGTGATAAATATCATAGTTTATACTTATTGTCCATTAATACTGACTAATATCCACTGGTCAATATCCATTAATAGTTGTTAATAGTGCTTAAGAATGATTATGAATGATCAATGGTTAATATATGGATTACCATTAATTAATATCCATTAATACTTGGGCGTCTCTATCCATCCCCATTTCTAGTACGTATTGACTCATCTCCAATAGGGTACTTCAAAATCCAGAGGTTTATCATCCAGTTCCTGTGAAAATTGCCAAACAACGAGATATCCCCCATCTTCAGAAACACCCAAGATCATTATGATTCATAATATGTATGATATCAATGATATCCCTTTATATTCCATCATATCCCTGAATGTCCCATGATATCCTAATTCTGGCTGGTTATATCCTGTTTACCATAAAACATGCCACTTTTAAGGGCTTAACCCTGCCTCTCACCTTCCTCTCCTTAGTGGCTCACTCTTCGGAGCAGCTTCCGCCAAAGCGTCCTGAAAGAGCCATCCCGTCCAATTTTTGGGGCGCCACCCGCCTCGTAATCTAACATAGCCATGTAATGTGACTCATGAAAGCATTCTGGTTGGTGGTATACCTACCCCTCTGAGAAATATGAGTTCGTCAGCTGGGATGATTATTATTCCCAACTGAGTGGAAAAATAATCCAAATGTTCCAAACCACCAACCAGAAGTAGATGATTTACCTATACTAGCAAAAAAACTAGACATGTTCATGGCATTTCATGGCTATCTCAAATGATCAGAGAGAAAATATAGAATGATGATCTTAAAGTTGGAATAGGCTGGGCCCATCTTTGTATCCTACGGTCCCCTCTGGGCACCCCATACAATTCTACACATCATCATGGCAAATATTCAAGTACTGTCATGAATCCCCCCTTCAGAAGACGGGGCAAGTTCGTATTGACGACAGGCTTTCAAATGGCTTTTGACACCTATTGTTCCAGTTACACTGGCCCTAGAAAAGTGGCAACCCAGAAGTGGTCCCCTAGCCTTGTCCATCTTGCGAAACCTCCGGATGGGAAAGGAAAAGAAGGACTGGGTATAATCTACTCAAGTATGGCAAGATGTGCAAAATGGGGCACATACCTAAAATGGTCATTTCTTTTAATGATGATTCCTAGAAAAGGTGGGATGATTTTCTACCAACCCATGGACCATATTGGACCGATCTGAAAGAGTCCCCGCGGACCCGACTTGACCCATACCCAAGGTTTGGCACGTCACCATGTTATTGCCCCGATTTACTTCCCATCCCCTGAACAGCCTGAACGCCTCATCTTTCCTCCACTCGTTTTCTTGTTGCCACTTTTTTATTACCCATTTTGAGGCTTGAATATCCCCAGTGGTTGGTTATAGTACACACTGCTGAAACACATATATTTGTCAATTGGTATCATCATCCAGTTGGTGGAAACAGACTAAAACATGCTTGATCATGTTTCTTGGCTAATCATCTTACAGGATGTTTTAGTCCCTTTCTACAAACGACTGTTCATCCATAGTACAACAAGCGCCATTCTCTACACTCAGAATCCCCCTTGACTATATGCTTGACTATTTCACTGGAGACCTCAACCTGGTTATGCATCATGACCCCAGAAAAAATCCCCAGCCAAATTGGTTGGTCCATACATTTTCCCCCACATGAAGCCATAAAGTCTCCGAGCAAAACCCCCATATTTGTGGTAAGTCCCACTCAACACTTCAATTTTCCATTAAAAAAAATCTGTTGGTTACATATTGCCGTGAAATCCCGGTCAAATCAAAATCAGTTGCCAAGTCTCAACTTGATCCACCACTACTTCCAAGTCCGTTGGATGATTTCAATGAATGCTTCATCCCAAATTCTTGACTGTTAAATCCCTGTCTTTGAAACCAGAGCGGGCACCACCATTTCAATATTCACATCCAAAGAATCCCAAACTATTTCATGCAGAATAATTTTAATGTTAAATAGAGATGAATCCCCAAAAACATTTGATGTTTGAACCCTTCAGAAACCATGGCCAAGCGGGGGACTTGCACATATATTATCACATAATTCACATATTTGAGACCATTTACCCTCTAGGTAAACTAACAGTTTGCGACATAGAAAATGGCCATTGAAATAGTGGATTTACCCATTAAAATAGCATGGTGGATCTTTCCATAGTTTTATGGGACAGTTAACCATGATATACCACAAATCCATGATAGCATGGTGATTTTTCATGGCCAAGCTGCTTGATGCCAATCTCCAGCGGTGTCTTGTCCCGATCCTCACGGCTGGGATCCGTGAAGTCCCCCTCCTGCCGTAAAAGGAAGACCGCTCGAGGCTACCGAAATGTGGTACCTCTAAGTCATAATTAGCTGGGTATGATATCAAATGTGTTATTTTTGCTGGTTAATAGTGGTTAATCATGGGTTAATAGTGGCTTAATAGTGGTTAATAATGGGATGATAATCTGGTTGGTGGTATACCCTCTGGTAAACATACAAAAAGCTATTGAAAATGGCCATTGAAATAGTGGATTTTCCCATTCATAGCATGGTGGATCTTTCCATTGTTATGTTAGTTCACCGGAGGGTAAACCGGATGTGAATAATATATGAACCCCAGTGGCCCCAGTCTGGTAATTTCATATAAACACAAGTAATACCGGATCATTACCTGTTATATAAACCCCAGTCTGGTAATTTGGTATATAGGTAACTAGACCACATGGGAATCGGGAGAGGAAACTAGACCATGTGGGGGAAGAATGGGATTCCTCTTGGATTTTGACACGATTTTTATTTTGGTCCAATATCCAAAGATGCCAGGTGGATTCTGTGATAATTCCATATAATTCCTGTATATTCCAGGTGGATTCATGGCTGAACTAATCATCAGCCGTTTTGAACACAGCTAAGGATTTGACCAAACCCAACAGACATAGGATGTTCACCAAGCATTTGGGTGGTGCTGAAGCAAGAAAACACATGGGATTTTACCGGCAATCATAGGGGATTTGGCACATAAACATGCTGCTTCACTGCATTGAAAGGAAGATGGAAACCCACGGGGTTGACCACTCTGAACTTCCAACGGCTTCACCGATTTACACGGTTGGCTTTCCTGAAAAAAAAAGACGCGTTTGCGGATGAGTTGCCAGTATTTAGCAATGTAGATCAGTAGAGTAGATGCGCTTGTTCTTAGTCATGCGGCGCACACAAAAAAATAACTGACTACCAATCATAAAATAATATGAAATAATCAAATACTCTGCAGAATACACCCCTCTTTTTCGCCAAAGAATTCTCTGCAGCCACTCCTCCAAGTCATAGAGGGCCAGCAGCTTCGCCGCCTAAAACGGGGGCTCCAGTTGTGATCAACTGGGATGAATTGGGTAGGATTTATTCTGCCTGCCACAGTAAGGTGGGAAAATAGATCAACATAGACAAATAGTTTTTCAACGTGCTGAAAGCAACCAGTTGCGGCGTTGCGGAGCCTCAAGCTGGCTGGTCATTTCCATGGTCTAACACAATGAATTGTGCTTGGTTTGCCCACAGCATGTTGGCAGATTTTGCTGTGGACAAACCTAAAAAGATCATGTTGGGGAAGAAATCATCGCATCCCGAATCCCCACGTGAAAAATACTCCCGATTTTGAAACTCCCGATTTCGCTCGTATTGATTGAACGGGGACCCACATGGGAGCAACTCACTACAACACACATCGAATGATCCAAAAACCATCAACCATGAACGGCCATGGACTAGTTCAAATAAGCCTAGTATGAGACACTACATGGCCATGCTAACCCCAAATAGATCCAAACAGTATAGTTAAGACATGTCAAACATCAAAATGACTGGATATTCCGGTCCCCGGTGATCTCAAAATCTGCAGCGTACCGGGCCATATCCCAAATTTTGGTGCTTGAGACTCACAACGGATCCCATCATTCGCAAATGACTCAAGTTTTCCTGCTGAAAATGAAACATGTTGACTGATTAGATCAGATCCCCAATCGATCTCAGTATTCACGGATAAATTTGATAGTTTGAAGCCTCATTTGCCTTGTAAAAACTGCTATATGGGAAAATATGGTTGTTTCTATATACAATTTCACCCCGATTATATCCCCACCATATCCCGTTACAGTATATTCCCACTGTTGGAAAGTCATAGTCTTCCCATCATTGTCTGAAAATAGGGTACCCCCAAATCCCCTGGTTAATCATAAGTGTCCTTATCAAAACCCCATAAATTGAGGTATAGCCCATTTTCAGACACAACCAAATATCATATATTGTTGGTTATGTCTCCCACGATTTTTTTCCCCATTCCAAAAAAACCCACGACATTTCATCATTGCATCATTTCAGAAAGCTGGAAAGTCAGTCATAGTCTTCCCATCATGCTTGGATTTTCCATTACCAGCCACCATGGGTCGTGACGGTCTCCACCTGGTCGGGCACGTTGGAGGTGTCGCTGCCAATGCTGTGGAGGCAGGGAATTTCCCCCTGTCGACTGGCCTGGCTCCACGGGTGGGGACCAGGCCCCCACAAACACGGTGCCTTTTTTTGACCAAAATGAATGTTTTTCAGATGATTTAAGCCCCATGAACCAACCAAAAGATGGCGCTTAGTTTGTACTATCACCCACAAAAATTGGTAGATGGGTTACCTTCACCGATGTTCAGGGATTGGAAGAAGGGTTACTTTCGCCAGGTCTAATTGTCCTCATTTTTGTTGATCTTTGCCAGGCTGTTTACTCCCCCAAAGGCCTTCCAAACTGTAGAAAATCTATGGTAAATTGATATATCAAATTCCATCTTTTCAAAACCATAGATTTTCTACAGTTTTGAAAATAAACTATGATAAACTATGATAAACTATAGAAATTCAAAACCTATCAGCCTATCCATCTTTTCCATCCTGCGCTGAAAACCTCAACGAGACCACTCTGAGGTGGGATAACGTTTCAAGGTAGCAAAACATTACTCAGTGGGTTCTGAACATGAGTAGTTAGAGGTGATTGCTACATGTGTATATATATATACACAAATAAATATGCCTAATGTATATATATATATTATAATGCATTATATACCTCCCTGTACAATATCTGCATATTCTATAATTCAAATACATTTGGAACTGTCCTTCGTTAGGCACATCAATCTATCCTAGGGGAACTAAATGTCGATGTGGAAAGCCTATGGTTTTCCCGTTCGGACAATCTACAAATGGTTGATTTTTCACGTCGATGTAAACGGTTATCCACTTGGTATTCAAAAACAAAAACACCCAAACAATATTATTGTTCTTTCGCAAAACATAAAGGACTCGGTTTACCATTTCTATATATGGGTATGTCTCAAAATACCGTGTCCAACCCGGGAAGTTTGACTAGGGGGTATGATTCGTGGGTGTGATTCGCCCGGGTATGATTCGTGGGTATGATTCGCGGACCTTGATTTAGTGTTTCCCTGCATCCTCCGCGTATAGTTATTTGCCCACACTTACCCTGAAAATGTTTCAACTGTTGGTGATTATACCATACGTGGAGCGCTCTGGGGCTGGCATGCTGTTGACGCTGTGCGTGCTGCTGTCAGAGTGGTGTGCGCGCTTTGGAGCGGGCATCGTGGTGCCGTTGGAGTGCCGCTGCAAGGTGCTGGTGCAGGGTGTTGCTTGCTGTCAGAGTGGTGTGTACACTTTGGAGCGATGCTGGTGGCGCTCAGGGTATCTCAGGGTGCTGCTGCAGGTGCTGCCTGAGGGTGATGTTTGAAGGTGCTGCTGTCAGAGTGGTGTGTGCTTTAAACCCTGCTTTGGAGCGGGCATGCTGGTGAGCGGATGCGGGTGGAAGGTGCTGCTTGAGGGTGCTGTCGAGCTAGCCTGCTGGTGCTGCTGCAAGGGGTGATGTACCCAACTCGTGCTGCAAGGGTGCTAGTGAAGGGTGCTGCTGCATGCTGCAGGGTGCAGCTGTTAGAGTGGCGTGTCCGCTCTGGAGCTGGCTGGTGGTGCCGCTGCAGGGTGCTGCTTCAAGGTGCTGCAGTTAAAGTGGTGTGTGCGCTTTGGAGTTGGCATGTTGGTGCCATTGCAGGATGCCGCTGCAGGGTGCTGTTGTCGGATTTTTCGCAGAAGCAGCAGGAGGCATAGTGTAGCCCGTGGCGAATGGTTGCAAAGAAAGAGCTCACAAAACACAAGTTCTGACATTGCAAATGTACCAAGGTTCAGAATTGGGAAGTTTGAGGTATGATTCGGGTATGATTCGGGCATGATTCGGGGTATGATTCGGAAACCCATCTTTTTTTGAATTCAGGAAGCTTTGTTGCTTGAGTCTTTTTTCCCCACCATTAACCTACTACGATTGCTACTCAATGGCTGCAATGGCTCGACCTGCCAGACGACCTTGGACAGGACCTGAATATGAAGAATGTGAAGATTTAAATTAAATGCACATCTATAATTTATATCCGCCGGCCTGCCGGCGTCTCTTCTGGATGTTCTTCTCATGTACCTTTAGCTCAGCTACGCTTAGGCTTATGTTCCTCTTCGACGGATTTTTGGTTTGGTTGCCAGCCAGCCAGCCAGCCAGCCAGCCAGCCGCAGCCAGAGTCATACCGCTCATCAGCCTCATCAGCAACACAGCAAGCAGCCAGCCACGCAGCCAGCCACCAGCCAGCCAGCTGCAACTAGCCAGCCCTATAGCCAGCCACCCAACCAGCAAGCAACTGAGCCAGCCACCTAGCCAGCCAGACACCCAGAGCCCGCCAGCTTAGGGACAATGATGAGACTCTGAGCGCGTGCAAAAGATTCGCCACTCCGTGAAGGTATGTGAAGGTAGCCAGGGATCATCGGGTCTGGCCAACACTGGTCAATTAGCTTGTCAGGTCCATTATAACAAGTGAGGCCAATGCAATACCAAACGATCCCAAAAGAAACATTCATAATCGTGATTTTTTTGGACAGGATTCGGGGGTATGATTCGGGGGTATGATTCGGGGTACGATTCGGGGGTATGATTCGCACAAATCGAACTTCCTGCCTTTACTAAAAACTGCACGCGTTAAAAAAAGACACAGCCATATGTCTATCCATTTATTCTCACCTACAGTAGCCATTGTATGGTTTTTTCCCCTCTATTCAACCAATCGGAAAAAAAAAGCATCGTTCAAGCGCACGCGGCCGCGCGACCTCCTGCAAAATCAGGTCCTGCACCAATTTGATGGTGTTGGGATCTCCGGTCTGAAATGCCACGTGCATACCTCAATGGTTCGGCCCTGCGAGGGCATGGGGAATGTAAAATATGGGGGAAGACTAGACCCGTCCTGAAACACCACGAAAATCAGACGTAAAAGCGTGTATATACTATACATAAGTATATTATATTATATTATATTATATTATATTATATCATATTATATTATATTATATCATATTATATTATATCATATTATATTATATATATGATATGTATGAAATGAGCCTTCTTGAAGAGGCACTGGTCTGTTTTCCAATTTGTGCAGACTTTGGGCCGATCACTTTATACAAGCCAGGAAAAGTGTCTGAACATGTGGATTTTCAGCATTAGCCGTGGCATTTTCGGACACATAAACCCCGCCCTTAGAGTCATCCAAGGGACAGGACAATCCGTTGGCATTGTAGCTGTTCAGGATATCAGCTCCATTGTCACACAGATAGCGGATCAACCTGAAAAATCGTTGAACCGGATCTGATGTGGTCAAAAAAGAAATGTTGGTCTTCTGAAAATTGAAGAGACTTGGATCATGATCATTGCGAGGACCTAAAATTTTAAAACTATCCAACTCAACCGCACTGTAATTGCAGTTCATCCAAACAACCGCATCCGCTTGATGTGCAGTTGTTGGAGACCTTCTCATCCATGTGCGGGGATTTTTTGGTGCGATCAGTCCAGATTACAATCATGCACTAATAGTGACATGATCAGTTGTGGACGGTCTTCCCCTTTTATGGGATGCAAATCCCATTGCGAACCAAGGTCAGTTCCGGGATTCTGCTGTGAAAAAATATCTTCCAAGTACCCTCTGGTAAGCACGGCGTGCGTAAAGAGCTATTTACATCCGTGTTGGTATTTTGCTGTATCATTTGCGAATGATGTTGATCTCCAAAAAATCAAGCAATAATGATACTTGGAGGATTTTCCAGGGCAAATTAGCATGGCTTCATAGCTATAGCAGCTAGATGGGGCCCTGGGGCTGTCTCAAAATTCCTGGCACCATTCCCATGTTACTCGGATTTGCTTAAGAACCCACAACTCTTGACGGGTAAAGACCTCTTGCTGTTTTGGGAATTCCCAGAAGGTCACCTTCTGAAAAACCGGCTCAGCATGGTTTATCAGCATCTTACAGTATCTTACATATAAAAATTGCTCTAAAATTACTTAAAACGACTTAAACCGACTTACCCTCTGGTTATTTAACATAGCCATGGAAAATGGCCCATTTGTAGATGGTTTACCTGGGTTTACCTATTAAAAATAGTGATTTTCCATGGCTATGTTAGTCGTAACCAGATGGTATGTAACCCATAGAATCCCTAACAAGATGAAGCCCACGAACCCGAATGCTCACACGTATGTTAATGGTACAGATGTCAAAACACATGGTTATGCAGTCACGCACAATACCTTTCTGCAATAGTTTATTTGAACAGTCTTGTGCATGTTTCCCTTGTTACCAGTCGGCAGTGTGGAGTGGAAAGTGTAGAGTGTGGAGTGTGGAGTGAGAAGTAAGGAGTGTGGAGTGTAAAGTGTGGAGTGGGGAGTGTAGAGTGTGTAAAGTGTAGAATGCGGAGTGTAAAGTGTAGAGTGTGGAGTATGGAGTGTAAAGTGTAGAGTGTGGAGTGCAGAGTGTGGAGTGTGGAGTGTAGAGTGTGGAGTGAGGAGTGTAAAGTGCAAAGTGTGGAGTGTGGAGTGTAAAGTGAGGAGTGTAAAGTGTGGAGTGAGGAGTGTGGAGTTTGTAAATTGTAGAGTGTGAAGTGTAGAGTGTAAAGTGTAGAGTGTAAAGTGGAGAGTGTGGAGTGTAGCGTTTGGAGTGTGGAGTGGAAAGTGTAGAGTGTGGCGTGTGGAGTGTGGAGTTTAAAGTGTGGACTGTAGAGTGTGGAGTGTAAAGTGTAGAGTGTGGAGTGTGGAGTGTAAAGTGTGGAGTGTAAAGTGTGGAGTGTAAAGCGTGGAGTGTGGAGTGTGAAGTGTAAAGTGTGGAGTGAGGAGTGTAGAGTTTGGAGTGTGGAGTATAAAGTGTGGAGTGTGGAGTATAAAGTGTGGAGTGTGAAGTGTGGAGTGTAAAGTAAGGAGTGTGGAGTGTAAAGTGTGGAGTGTGGAGTGAGGAGTGTAAAGTGTGGAGTGTAAAGTGTGGAGTGTGGAGTGTAGAGTGTGGAGTGTAAAGTGTGGAGTGTAAAGTGTCGAGTGTGGAGCGTAAAGTGTAGAGTGTGGAGTCTGGAGTGGACAGTTTGGTTTGTGGTGTGTAGAGTGTGGAGTGTAAAGTGAGGAGTGTAAAGTGAGGAGTGTAAAGTGAGGAGTGTAAAGTGTGGAGTGCGGAGTGAAGAGTGTAGAGTATAAAGTGTGGAGTGTGGAGTGTACAGTAAAGTGTGGAGTGTGGAGTGCGGAGTGTGGAGTGGAAAGTGTAGAGTTTGGAGTGTGGAGTGTAAAGTGGGGAGTGTGGAGTGTAGAGTGTGGAGTGAGGAGTGTCAAGTGTAAAGTGTGGAGTGTGGAGTGTAAAGTGTAGGGTGTGGAGTGTGGAGTGGAAAGTGTAGAGTGTGGTGTGTAGAGTGTGGAGTGTGGAGTGTAAAATGTAAAGTGTGGAGGGTAGAGTGTAAAGTGTAGGAGTGCAGAGTGTAAAGTGTAGAGTGTAAAGTGTAGAGTGTGAAGTCTACAGCGTAAAGTGCGGAGTGTGGAGTGTAAAGTGTAGAGTGTGGAGTGCGGAGCTTCCCCCATAGACACGGCGATGCCACAGGAAAACCAGAGACTAGAGACGAGACATGTGGGCGCAAAAAAATGAGCATTTCGAGCGAGACTTCCTTCAATTTTGATATTCTCGGCACGTTATCAAACAGGTTGGAATGTCACAAAGTGCCACGCCTGCCAGGCAAAACGACATGACAACCTGCTTGGACACATTCGAATAGGAGATGTTTTCCAGCTTCCCCTATAGACACGGCGACGCCACAGGAAAACCAGAGACTCGAGACGAGACACGTGGGTGCAAAAAAACGAGCATTTCGAGCGAGACTTTCTCCAATTTTGATATTTTCGACGCATTATCAAACAGGTTGGAATGTCACAAAGTGCCATGCCTGCCACGCAAAACGACATGACAACCTGCTTGGACACATTCGATTAGGAGAGGTTTTCCAGCTTCCCCAATAGACACGGCGACGCCACAGGAAAACCAGCGACTCGAGACAAGACACGTGGATGTAGAAAAACCAGCATTTCGTACGAGACTTCCGGCAATTTTCAGAGTTGGCAACATGACAAAAGGACAGGTTTTGCAGCTTCCCCCATAGACACGGCGAAGCCACGGGAAAACCAGAGACTCGAGACGAGACACGTGGGTACAAAAAAACGAGCATTTCGAGCGAGACTTCCTCCAATTTTCACACTTTGTAGCTTCAAAATCGACCTGTTCCTACGAGTTTTCCTAGGAACCTCTAAATTTTGCTACCTCAAAATCGATGTTTCGTGCGAGGCTTCCGTCAATTTTCAGCACATGTCACAAAATGCCACGCCTGCCACAGAATTTGCACCTTGTCGCCACTTGACGCAGCCCTGCCAATGCGATTTGCAAAAACACGCAACGCGACAAGTCTAAAGTGCTGCGCCTGCCACGCAAAATGACGATGGACACGTCCAAAGTGCTGCGCCTGCCACGAAAACTGCCACGCATCTTCTGAAAACGCCACAAAAGTATTGCGCCTGCCACGCAAAACGATTTTCAACACGTTGCAAAACACGTCTGAATGTCACGAAGTGCCACGCCTGCCACGCGAAACGAAAAGCAACGACACGTCTGAAACCTCCAAAAATGACCACCTCTGCAGAACTTCCCATAGGCACGGCCATACGGCGATCGCGCGGACGGTTGCGAACGGTTGCGGACGGTTGCGAACGGTTGCGAACGGTTGCGAACGGTTGCGATCGTGAACGCAACGTCGAGCGAACACACCCTCAACCCCCAGACCCCCAGAGTGAAACGGGAACCCTTGCTACGCATTCGGGAAAAAAAAACCTGGTTGGTGGTTGACCTATCCCTCTGGCAGTGTCTATGTCAATTTACCAGAGGGTAAAACCACTTAAATTTGCAAATCACAAGTGGGCCCATCAGCCGCCGAAATCGCCAAGGATCTGCCGATCCCCATCCCGCGCTCCGCCCCGACCCTCCTGCAATGGCATCAACGTTAAAGGGTCCGGGAAAGCCCACAGGAAAACTATGGAAATCCACAAGAAACCCACAGGAAATCCACAGGAAAGCTATGGAAAAGTCATGGATGGCTAGCTGATTTAGCCACATGTTTTTTTGGTTTCCGCTCTTTCCCCGGTGTTTTAGGGAGGACACACAGCATCACACAGCCAACGCTGGCCAACGCTTAGCGTTTCCCAAGAGTTCAGCGACGGTCCTTAAAAACAGCGGCTTGCAAGACATCGTAGTTGTCCACCCCCTGTCGCTTGACCATACCTGGACCCAGGTGACCCAGGTGACCCAGGTGACTGTTTAGAGTCTCTACATGGATCTTACCACGGAGAAACCCGGCTGATGGCTGATGGCTACACCACATTCCACCAGCGATGTTCGCCAGGGCGCTGTTGATATCTGCATTCCTCTGTAAGAGGGCCTCCACCTCGGTTCCACTTCGCATGAGCCACTTGAGCGGTTGCAAAGTTAAGCCAGAAATTGGAACATGGAGCCACTAAAAAACTTAAAAGCTAAGGGCAGTGCGGGAATTGAATTGTTGCACGTTGGTCTCTATCAATCTATCAATCTAGCAATCTATAATTCTATCAATCTATCAATCTATCAATCCATCCATCCATCCATCCTATCTATCTATCTATCTATCTAATCTAATCTAATCTAACCTAACCTAATCTAATCTAATCTAATCTAATCTATCTATCTATCTATCTGTCTCTCTCTCTCTCTATCTATCTATCTATCCATCCATCCATCCATCCATCCCTCCCTCCCTCCCTCCATCCCTCTGTCCGTCCGTCCGGCCGTGGGTGTGTGGGTGTGTGGGTATGTGGGTGTGTGGGTGTGTGGATGTGTGGGTGTGTGGGTGTGTGGGTGTGTTAGTTAGTTAGTTAGTTAGTTAGTTAGTTAGTTAGTTAGTTAGTTAGTTAGTTAGTTAGTTAGTTAGTTAGTTAGTTAGTTAGGTAGTTAGTTAGTTGGTTAGTTAGTTAGTTAGTTGGTTGGTTAGTTAGTTAGTTAGTTAGTTAGTTACCTCGTTCGTTCGTTCGTTCGTTCGTTCGTTCGTTCGTTAGTTAGTTAGTTAGTGTGTGTGTGAGTTAGTTAGTGTGTGTGTGAGTTAGTTAGTGTGTGTGTGTTAGTGTGTGTGTGTGTAACATCTGAATAGATGTAAAACTTCTTCTCTCTCTTTTTCTTCCTTTGTCCTCTCCCTTTCTAATTCTAAATTAAATTTAATGCAGGGGGCCAGCGCATGGCATCACGACGCTGGCCAACGAAGCTAGTGATGTCATGGGAAGCAGTTGGAGACGTCCAACTGTGTACCTGCAGAAATCAAGTTGAACTGTTGAACAAGCTGTCTTGTTGCTGCACTGTTGTCGCAATCTGGAATCAATGTTGAGATTTACATGCATGTTTCAGGATTCAGTTCCTGCCGGATCATATAATGATCCATTCTTGTCTAGTGTGATTTCCATGGTGGCTCCGACATGGTGCCATGGAGCCATTTGAGGCAACCCTTTTCAGGGTGAGTGTCGACAGTCTTGAATTCTGAATTCACACATTTTAATTTGGTAATTCATCTAAGTAAATCGCAACAGTTGGCCTTGCGGTTTTGCACCTTTGAAGACGTCCCGCGGCTCCTGTGGTCCCAGGGATCCTAGCGCTTTGCACTCTGTCAAGTGAAGCCAATCCGAACTGCCAGAAACCTCCGTTTTTGCAGCAACCTTTACAGTCACATTACAAGAGACAGAACGCAGGCAGGTACACGATCTTTAGGTGCGGGTTTCTTTCTTTGGATGGTCTCTGGTGAGGTGAAACATATTGTGCACCTAATTCGATGGAACTTGATAGCCGTTTGATGCCATTGGGGCACGACTTGACCACGGGCCTGTTGTGGCACAATTGCACGAACAGTAGGTCTAGGAGCTGAGTCCTGTTCGTTAACTACTTGTTTTGGTTTTGTTCGTCATCAACTAGTTCCCCATTTGGTCCCTAATTCTCCCCGCGTGCCTCTCCGTAATGTGTCGTGGGGTTTTAGGTGTGTGCGCTGTTTTTGTCAGGTCCGTTTCGCCGTGTAGGTTGGTTCTGGAGGTCCGTCTGTTCCCCTCCCCCCCCCTGCGCTGTTTTTGGCCGTTTGCCCTTCGTGTGTCCGCTTTTTTCTTCCTCTTGCCTTTCAGGGTTGACCCGGCTCCGGCCGGGTGTGTGTGTGTAACATCTGAATAGATGTAAAACTTCTTCTCTCTCTTTTTCTTCCTTTGTCCTCTCCCTTGCTAATTCTAAATTAAATTTAATGCAGGGGGCCAGCGCATGGCATCACGACGCTGGCCAACGAAGCTAGTGATGTCATGGGAAGCAGTTGGAGACGTCCAACTGTGTACCTGCAGAAATCAAGTTGAACTGTTGAACAAGCTGTCTTGTTGCTGCACTGTTGTCGCAATCTGGAATCAATGTTGAGATTTACATGCATGTTTCAGGATTCAGTTCCTGCCGGATCATATAATGATCCATTCTTGTCTAGTGTGTGTGTGTGTGGTGTGTGGGTGTGTGTGTGTTAGTTAGTTAGTTAGTTAGCTAGCTAGCTAGCTAGCTAGTTAGTTGGTTAGTTAGTTAGTTAGTTAGTTAGTTAGTTTAGTTTAGTTTAGTTTAGTTTAGTTTAGTTAGTTAGTTAGTTAGTTCGTTCGTTCGTTCGTTAGTTAGTTAGTGAGTTAGTTAGTGAGTTAGTTAGTTGGTTAGTTAGCTAGCTAGCTAGTTAGTTAGTTAGTTGGTGTGAGTTAGTTAGTGAGTTAGTTAGTTGGTTAGTTAGCTAGCTAGCTAGTTAGTTAGTTAGTGTGAGTTAGTTAGTTAGTTAGTTAGTTAGTTTGTTAGTTTGTTAGTTTGTTTGTTTGTTTGTTTGTTAGTGTGTGTGTGTTACTTAGTTTGTTAGTTAGTGCGTGTGTGTGTGTTAGTTAGTTAGTTAGTGTGTGTGTGTGTGTTAGTTAGTGTGTGTGTGTGTTAGTGTGTGTGTGTGTGAGTGTGTGTGTGTTAGTGTGTGTGTGTTAGTGTGTGTGTGTGTTAGTGTGTGTGTGTGTTAGTGTGTGTGTGTTAGTGTGTGTGTGTGGGTGTTAGTGTGTGTGCGTGTTAGTGTGTGTGTGTTAGTCTGTGTGTGTGTGTTAGTGTGTGTGTGTTAGTGTGTGTGTTAGTGTCTGTGTGTTAGTGTCTGTGTGTTAGTGTCTGTGTGTTAGTGTCTGTGTGTTAGTGTGTGTGTTAGTGTGTGTTAGTGTCTGTGTGTGTTAGTGTCTGTGTGTTAGTGTCTGTGTGTTAGTGTCTGTGTGTTAGTGTCTGTGTGTTAGTGTCTGTGTGTTAGTGTGTGTGTGTTAGTGTGTGTGTGTGCTAGTGTGTGTGTGTGTGTGCGTGTTAGTGTGTGTCAGTGTGTGTTAGTGTGTGTTAGTGTGTGTGTGTTAGTGTGTGTGTGTGTGGTAGTGTGTGTGTGTGAGTGTGAGTGTAAGTGTGAGTGTAAGTGTGTGTGTGTAACATCTAAATAGATGTAAAACTGTTCCTTTTTTTCTTTCTTTCTTCTTCTCCCTTTCTAATAAAGCAGGGGGCATGGCAGCTGTTTCCCTAGCCATGCCAACGAAGCTATGGGATTCAGCCGGAAGGGAATGTGGACGCACATTCCTGTACCTGCATTTTATTCATCTAGGATTTTTTTGTTTTCCTGATTAATTTGCATGTTACAGGACTTCAGTTCCTGACGGATCTATTCAAAGATCCATTCTTGTCTAGTGTAATATCCATGGTGGCTCCGACATGGTGCCATGGAGCCAATTGAGGCAACCCTTTTTAGGGTGACTGAGGACAGACTTGACTTCCGAATTTACACATTTTAACTGGTAATTCGTTTAAGTAATGCGAAACAGTTGGCCTTTCTGTTTTGCAATTTTTTCGAGATGTCCTGCCGCTCCGGCTGTCCTTCATGAACCTGGGAATGCATTCTTTTCAGAGTGAAGCTGAACTGAACAACCAGAAACCTCGTTTTTACCGCTGCAGCTCCAGCTTTTGAAAACATTGTCGCAACAGCAAGGCAGGTTCATGCTTTCCAGGTGTGGTCTTTTTTCCTTTTGACGGTTCTCTGGTGAGGTTAAACATATTGTGTACAGCCGTTTTATGCCCCTGGGGCTGACCTGACTACCGTCCCGGCAAGGGAACAACGCACGACCTTTAGGTTTAGTGGAGCTGAGCCCTTGTTTAGGTTAATTGTTTTGGTTTTTCACACTCGTCACCAACTAGTCCCCAATTTGGTCCCTAATTTCTTTCTTTTTTCTTTTTTTCTTTTTTTTCCCCCGTGCCTCTCCGTAATGTGTCGTGGGGTTTGGGTGTGTGCTCTGTTTTTGTCAGGTCCGTTTCTCCGCGTAGGTTGGTTCTGGAGGTCCGTTCGTTCCCCTCCCCCCCTGTGCTGTTTCGGCCTGTTGCCCGTCGTCTGTGTCCGCTTTCTTCTTCCTCTTGCCTTTCAGGGTTGACCCGGCTCCGGCCGGGTGTGTGTGTGTGTAACATCTAAAAATCTAAATAGATGTAAAACTTTTCCTTTTTTTCTTTCTTTCTTCTTCTCCCTTTCTAATAAAGCAGGGGGCATGGCAGCTGTTTCCCTAGCCATGCCAACGAAGCTATGGGATTCAGCCGGAAGGGAATGTGGACGCACATTCCTGTACCTGCATTTTTTTCATCTAGGATTTTTGTGTTTTCCTGATCAATTTGCATGTTACAGGACTCAATTCCTGACGGATCTATTCAAAGATCCATTCTTGTCTAGTGTGTGTATCCTCTTCATGGTTTGAGGATAGCCGATAGTCGCTCCATAAATTCACCTGCCAATTGAGTCCCTCTACCGTTGTCCTTGGTTCAATCTGTGTCCCTGCTGGTTGGATTCCAATCTTTGTTGATTACATCATTTAAATCTCCATTTTGCTGGTCAAAGTCCCCTATTTCTGATGCTGAAATCCCTCAAATCCTGGTGCAAGCCATCATGAAATTCCTCGTTTTAAGCTGGATTGTTGACCCAAGCAGCCACCTTGAGTGCATATAAGTACATATAAGATCATATGGTTATGGGTCAAAACCCTGGTTATGGGTCAAAACCCTGGTACCCTACCCCAAAATAGATGGTGAATGGATGGTTCTTCTCCCAAATATGGTGGGCCTCCGGACCAAATTCTGATGGCCACGGCTCGCGGCCAGATGGATGGCTTCGCCCGTGCAGAACTGATCCTGGCGGGTGTAAAATGGTGGGATGAAAGGTAAATCCCCATAGAATCCCAAGCCCAAAATCATGGAATGCAGAGAACCATGGGGGTTTCCTAGTCACTCACTGCGTGAAAGACAACTTGATCAGCTGCTACCTGTCGCCATTTCACTGAATGGTACCATTAATATTCTATCATTTCAGTTATAAAATCTATATACCTCGAGTGTGAGAAAGCAATCGATGATACTCTACGTCTCACAGCTGGGCGGCAGCATCAGCGCTGTGATCAGAATTCAGCACGGAGTACATTAGCTCCGAAGCTACAAATTGCCAGTCTAAATGGCACCCGATTAAGTAATACTAAGTGTCAGAAGGCATCGAAGACGGCAATTTCACCAACAATTTATATCAGAACAACGCCGAAAACGGATGGTTTCTCATCCTAAAGTAGATCCTCAAATCACACATTTACCTATTTTTGTGGGTCCGAACAAAGAAAAACATCAGGTCGCCAGCCATTGCCCCCGCCTCGCCCTTATGCTTGGTCAAGTAGCCAAATTCTGGGCGGCATATATATATATATATACTGGTTGGTGGTTTCAACCCCTCTGAAAAATATTAGTCAGTTGGGATGATTACTCCCAATATATGGAAAAATAAAACATGTTCCAAACCACCAATCAGTATACATGTGTGTGTAGGGGATTAGGATGGAAAATCACCATTTATCATAGTAGTAAAATCAACAATGAACAGACATGAACAGACCATTTTCAATAGCTATGTTCTCAATGTTAATCCCATCCCCCTTAAAAACATATGTTCATATTGGTCCCACCCACAGGAACCATGGTGGATGTAGGGGATGAAATCACATATGACTGGGACCTTTTGGAATTTTTGGCTGTTTAATATGAGGTGGATGGGATGACAAACGGGATATGTATTGGGTACCCGGCCTGGTAAATTAACAGTTCGACCCTGGCAGTTGTTGGGGTTGGAAGATTAGTGAAACCATAAAAACTAGGCTATGGATTCAGGGTCTACAAGTTAATTTACCAAAGGGTATGTCCTATGTCAAGTAAAATTAGTAGGTGGCTATCTCAAGATCTTTTAATGCTTCGTTGAACAAAACTCTTTTTGCCGGTCTCTTCAGTCACACACGCAGAATCAAACGTGACCAAACACCAGAAGCGGGGACTAATCAAATGGCATTGACTCAAAGTGGAACGAAAAAAACTGCATGTCACACCAACTGGATATAAACACCAGTTACATCAGTTTTATCCATATGTAGTTATCTACTATATGTTACAATGTAAACACCAACATTGGATATGTAGTTACAGCTATCATTCCATCGAGATTGCTGGATGCCACCCAGGAACTCCAACGCCATCCCAAAGTCGTTTCATCGGTGCCAAATGGGGGTTTCCGAAGTCATGGGGGTACCCCGACTCATCATCCATTTTAGATTGGGATTTTCCATAACAAAAACATACAAAAACCATCCAGCGATCAAGGGGTACCTGCAACATGGAAACCCCCAAATGTATCCAACTGTGGGGAGTGGACAGCTGATTTCCCACCTTCGCGCGTGCGGGAACCTGCCAGGGAAACACCAAAGAGGTCACCATTTCTTCTGCGATTTTGCCATCTACCATTTGGTTATGACTAACATAGCCATAGAAAATCACCATTTTTGATAGGTAAACCATCTGGTCCATTTTCCATGGCTATGTTAAATAACCAGAGGGTAAAATGGGAAGTTCACTACTGAAATGGGGAAGTTCACAAATACTTTTGTTGCATGTGAAACCCCAAAAAACTCAGATTTGAAAATGAGCAATGAGGATTAAACCAACAACCCCATGGATCCCAATTAGTGACACACTCCGCCGTCACTCCGCTACTGAGTTTCAATGGAAAATCGCAAAACACATGCATCCGCTTCTAGATGATAAAATAATAAAATATGTATTGAGACTTTCAATTGCTTTGAAATCTTTGAATATAATAACACATGCCATGATATATTAATATCAAAAATCATATTCTCACTATATCATTCTATCTTATATCCTCCTTAAAGCCTTAGCTTTTGAGATGTTCAGTGCATCTCCAGCTCCTTGGACCATCCCGGATGGTGATGGACGCAAATATCCTTTTGGCCCCGAGAGGAAAGTCATCAAAACTCAGCGGAAACTTTCCCAGTTTGGGATATCACGTTATTATATATCTGGGCAAATTATAATATTTCACTAACCTGAAATAAGGTCATTTGGGGATAGTCACCCCTACTAACCATCATTCCCAGTGAGGTCGCAGTGAGGTCGTTATAATTTACCCATATATATATATATATATATAAGTTACCCTCTGGTAAATTAACATAGACCCTACCAGAGGGATAGGTCAACCACCAACCAGGTTTTTTTGGGGGATTCTATGGGTTACATACCCTCTGGTTATGACTAACAGTTCACCATGGAAAGATCCACCCATTTTTAAGTTCGGTAAACCATCTATTTCAATGGGCCATCTATACCATGGTTATGTTAAATAACCAGAGGGTATTATATATATATAGGTTTCCCTGTTCATTTGAGAGGATGAGGTCACTCTCTGGGAGGTGATTTTTTTTGATTATTTGGTCAGATGGTTTTTTTTCGACCTATGATGGGTTATCATAATCCCCCAAAGCATATATTACTAGTGCCCACGTGGCCACATATGAAGGTTTCCTAAGTCGTGGGAAGTACCTCAAATCATCCATGTTGACTTCGTGTTCCCCACGACTTGAGAAACCTCCAGATGACTTGCTGTCTGACCATTGAAGTCAAACTATATTCTTCTCCACTCCCAATATATGTCATATATGCTCAACAATTATAGTTATACTGTATATTATAGTCGTATTCCCAGTATATATTAACGTATATTAACCATTATTAGCCATTATCAACATATAGTAACCAGTATTAACCACCATTAACCACTATTAACCCATCAACCACCCTTAGATCATCCCCCCTTCCGCACCGGCGTTGTCCAAGAGCTCTTCCAGTCGATGCAGGTTCCCCTCCAGCGCGGCTTTGTGCAGCTCGGTGCCCTGACACCGCCTACGCCGTAACGGGCGGAACGGGCCAGCCGCGGAAATCGGGAGGGAACCGTAACGGAAACCTGGAGTTTTCTGGGAATTTCATGAATTTTAAAGGGATTAAAGGGATTTTAAAGGGATTCTAAAGGGATTTTCGACATAGCTAAATCACAAATGGCCCAAATCGTTGATTTACCGTTCTTAAAGATGGTGAATTTCGATAGCTTTCTGTATGTTTACCAGAGGGTAACGGAAACCTGGACCCCTGGAGTTTTTCTGGGAAACATCATCTATATTCGTCTATACCATCCTGGAAATACCCTACGCTTAAGCTTTCATGACCTTCACCATGCACTCGTTGTGGGACTAGGACTGCTGGGATAAGCCAAACCATGGTTTATTATGTTTTTCACTTCAAAAGGAATAATCATTTGGGGTTCAACCATATCTGGAGATATAAAAATCGAGTGTTAAAAATCGAGAGTTATAGATATATATATATATATTATTATATTATATTATATTATATTATATATATATACAAACTCATATGTAGCTGGATTTGCATCCTGAGGAGCCTGTTAATGGCCCGATCCCATGGTACCCCTGGGAATGTCCAAAAAAACCGATTTGATGGATGGCGTCCCCCGCTCCAACCATCATCTATCAATGATTATGACGACATTTCTGGAATTCTACGGACATCTCTATCATGATCATCATTCCATCAACCATTTATCAATCCAGCCGATATAATGATACCCTAAATTGTTTTTTAACATAGCTATATGGAAAATGGATGGAACATGGCGCATTTATAAATGATTCATGATGATTTAACTATTAAAAAATGGTGAGTTTCTATGATTTTCTACAGCGCTACGTCAATACCCCGAGGTAAATGATCCATGTTCACCATCCAGGAAGTGCCCTGACGAAGTAGAACTGGAAGCCGGACATCATAAATGTCCATTACATCAAGTATCAGGTGTTAAATATACTTATACACATTATGTCTATGCATCACATATACAGCGCTACGTCAATACCCCGAGGTAAATGATCCATGTTCACCATCCAGGAAGTGCCCTGACGAAGTAGAACTGGAAGCCGGACATCATAAATGTCCATTACATCAAGTATCAGGTGTTAAATATACTTATACACATTATGTCAGGCATCACATATATATACATACAGATATATATATATATATACATCATATATATATATGTAGTTATATACATCATATATATATGTAGTTATATACATCATATATATACATCATACATATATATGCATCATATATATATATATAATTATACATATATATATAGTATTTACATAGGTATATCATCTTATATCCATGTCTAACATAACCTGTGGATTCGACCCAAAAATCGGTCGCCTGTTGTTCCACGTGAACTCATGTGGGCCGCATCCCTTCCTGGGTCGATTGGAATTGAGATCATTATCTCAGGATAAAACTAGGACATACATATGTATATATATATTGTGTGTATATATACATATGTGTCTATGATTATGTGCATATATATATATACACGAAACCATCAGCTTTGTTGTGCTCACATGAACCAACCGACAAGCCGTCAAGTGCATGTGCAACGATGGGTCCTCACCAGTCGAAACTGTTGTTTAAACTCCGTTTAAGTGAACAGTGCAGTTCCAAATAATACAAGCGGATATTACCCTCTGGTAAACTAACATAACTATTGAAAATCACCATTTTAATGGGAAAATCAACTATTTCAATGGCAATTTTCAATAGCTATGTTAGTCATTACCAGAGGGTATAGTCTAAGAGGTGAACCTACCATGGTTGACGCACAATTTTTAAACCCTGGCCAGGCATCACTTTCTGCTGAGGATTGACCACGTCCTGTCCCTGAAGGCATGGCGACACGCGCGAGATTGTGACATTTTTTGAGACAAAGTGACCCACAACACTGCTCGTTCTTACTAGAAACCCCAACGTTCGGGGCATCTGATTCGGAGCCATTTGGAATATCCTGAAATCAGGAGCTGGCAGTGGAAAAATCCCTGAGGGTGCAATAGTTCAACATGTTGGAAAGTTATAGTGGTAGAAGTGATATCATGACCCATTCAATACAATGATGTTTGATGTTGAAGCTGATGTTGCTAATTTTAGGGATGATTTTCCTTTTATTAGGAGGAATCCAGGAGGAGGACCACGACGACAGCCCAGGTCATATCTAATCACTTGAAGCACTATGGCACTGTATCCCACCGGATGTAGTGAACCCAGATATACCCGACCTGGTAAACATACAAAAAGCTATTGAAAATGGCCATCGAAATAGTGGATTTACCCATTAAAAATGGTGGATCTTTCCATAGCTATGTAAACGTTTACCAGAGGGTAAACCATACACAACCTCTGGATATTCCGTGTACCGGCAAGCCACAAGATGATCATGTTCATCACTCACTTGTGATTCACCGGATGCAGCGAAATCCAGCGAATACGTCCGACCGTCCGACAATTACCCTGACCATCCAAGACCTTACTGGCTGTCCTTACTTCGGAGTATCCCTCAAGGTAGGATGGAAAATGCCATGGAAAATGCCACATATGTGGGGAAGAAAAAATCACACTACTGTAGTATCCCTGTATTTCAGTGGGTCGGTATTCTCCTACAGTATTTGTTGATTAGCATACAAAGTATTATATAAGTATCATATGTCATACTTCATGGTATTCAATGTCATTATATCAGATAGTGTATATATAAAATCCACACATTACAGTACCCTCTGGTAATTTCACATAGCTATTGAACATGGTGATTTAGTTCGTGGATTTACCCATTGATAGCATGGTGGATCTTTCCATAGTTTTTCGTACGTTTACCAGGCCGGGTAGATATTCAACTCATAACCCATTGAAGTCCTCAAGTGGGTATGGGTCAATACCTATAGCCTATAGATGCATTTTAGTGGGATGAACATCCATTTACCAGCTATTTTGGGGTTCACTAGGTACGAGGGTTTTGACCCATCCCCAAGTGGATTCTCCCCAGTGCAACCAGAGACGTCCAGAGCCTGCGGAACTTCCGGGCTGAGCGCTACCTGAGGAAATTTGTGGAAAAGGCGACAGGCTGTGACGAAACGAGGGATCGCCCTAACAATAGGCAAGTTGGTCTTTCAGGCTAAGTTGGATTTATGGCAGAGATATCTATAGTTTATCTATGTTTATCTTAGATGAAGTTACAGCACAGTTGAGCCACGAACCATGGAAAATTCCACGACCGTCACGTTGTGTGATCCAGTGTGATCCGGCGAAGCCAAGTTGGACGCCGGGAAGCGATGTCCACCATGGATGAACAACTACCCGACCTGGTAAACATACAAAGTTAGCTATTGAAAATTGCCATTTATAGATATTTATAGTGGATTTACCCATTAAAAATGGTGATGTTCCTTAGCTACGTTAAATTACCAGAGGGTATCCATTTTTCAGATATTTTTCGATGAACAGATTCAAGGAGTTTGATCCTGTACCCATGTGGCTGATAAGTCCAGAGCAGATAAGGCGATCAGCTATCCATTCACCAAGTTTTCCACATGATTCACTGTTTAACAATGTTGTTGTGGATGAAATTGTGCTAAACCACCGTTTCTGTTTGCTAAATCTCTAGATGCTTGCTGGTTCAAACCGCTTGAAATTGTATTGTTCTAAGAAACACCAGACCCCTACAAGGTGGTGCTCCCCTAGTTATAGATTGGTTTATAACCCCATTAACTATAGATATATCACCTATAAACCATAGTTGTTGGAGTTATAAACCAACTCAGCTATCTTGGGAGCACCACCTTGTAGAGCATACTCCTTTCTCGACTTGAACATGATGCACGAGAGGATTCGATGACATCATTTTCAGGATGTTGGACGACTGTGTGCTCCAGAGGTATGTGGAAATCATCTTAGAATCATGTGTTGATCAAAAAACCTTATTGTGTACGTGTATATATATATATGTATACATATATATATATACATAAAAATATATGCGTACTATTTATCAGTTATATATTCATTTATCATTGGTTAAATCCTCATTTTGGATAAATTCTCCCATCGCCTCAATGTCTGGTTGTTCTCGGCGCACAGCGCCCAGCAAGGCGTTTTTGGCTGGCGGAGCGGGGTCCAGGATGGCGCAACTGCGATAGAAGGGGGGTTGGGGTGATCCCTCCTCATATGTGTAGATATATATATAATATGTAATATAATAGCACATATATCTGGGTAAATTATAATAATTCAATTAACCTGAATTAAGGCCATTTGGGGATGATTTCCCTTACTAACCATGATTCCAGTGAGGTCGCAGTAAGGTCGTTATAATTTACCCAGATATATATATATAATAGTATTATATATTTATACCCAACAAAATATAGAAAAGAAAAATCCTACTAAAATAGTGGTAACTTTCTGTCTATCCTTTCTCGGGGTACTAACTATCTATATATATATATATACACACCTGGGTACTAGTCAGATACTCGATATTTGTGGGACTTGGGCACCATTCGGAGCCACAAAGCCTGGGGATCCCTGGGGCCCGCTTTCCTTGGGAATTCACCATGGCACCAGGCTTGTTCTGCCATGAATCTCAATACTAGAAACCCATTGGAAGCCCTCACTTTCACCTACATACAACAATGAAAACAATACATATATGTTACATACATACATATATATATATATATATGTGTATAATATACTGTATATACTACAATCTACTAAGAGGTGTGGCCGAAGCCAACCCATCAAGTTTCAACTTCGCTTCCCAGCTCCCAGTGGGCCTCTTTCCACCGCCCAGCCAAGCTGGAAGAAGTTCGGCGACGGTGTCACTGTCATTGCAGTGCTGTGGGCAGGAGACAAGCTGCTGAGCCAAAGCGAACTGACCAAAAAAAACCTGAAGGCCGGCCACCATCCCCAAAAGATGGAGGATTATGGCGGCAAAACCAACTTGGGCCATTGGTTGTACTAGGGATGTAGGAGATACTTGTTTGATCAAACCATCACCACCACCACCACCGCCGCCACCGCCACCGCCACAACAACCACGACAACCACAAGAACAACAACAACAACAACAACGACAACAACAACAACAACAACGACAACAACAACAACAACCACAACAACAACAACAACAAACATAAACAGCAACAGCAGCAATGTGGCACGACAAAAGATGGAAAAGTGCTTGATTGACAAGCGGAAATGAAACAAAGGACAAATTATGGGAAAAGGGCAAACCAACATAAAGGTATAAATTACTGCAAGCAGCAATCATGCAGATATATCATGCAAGGTTGCGCAAAAGCTTAAAGGTTGCACCAAAAGAAGTCAATCACTTGGCTATCCTCTTCCCATTCATATGGAGAGAAAAAGTGTCACTCAAGAGTGCTGTTGTCCAGTTTTGCGCGGTTTCCACAGCAGTGGCCAAAATGAAAATATGTGCACTGCAAAGCAGTTGATGCGCAGCAAGATTTCAAGCAAGATTTCAAGCAAAGCCTCTTGTGGCCTCCTGATACCCGAAAATCCCATGTTTGTTCATCATTTTTTTTCAGTCAAGAGTAATTTTTGGGGTATACATACCCCACAAATAAGGCAAATCCATGTGTATCATGTATGCACGCCCATCATTCAGGAAATCCCGGAACAACCAAACAGGCCCTAAACAGGACAACCTGCGATCGTCGCATGGTAGACTGAACACTGTTAGTGGTTAAATATGGAGACAAAGCCATCACAGTGTGAACTACCAGCAGCATCCAAGAGCTATCGTGGTACCAAACAAATACTGGGATATGCATGGATTTAAAATTATTCAAAATATCAAAAAATGGATTGAGTTGCTACAACCAGCAAGAGTGTTTATCTATCGGATACAGAGCAACAAATATACGCATATATATAGATATATGATAGATATATATATATATATGTATACGTAATATTATGTTCTATTATGATCATGTTGCTACGCCAAAATATGCCAAAAAAAACATCTCACCATCATGGAAAATATCTGAGATCTTCTGAGATCATGTGACCGTCTCATTTGTCCAAAAAACATTGACACAACAGCTGCATTGGATGACCAAATTTTTGCTACCATACACAAGGCCTATTTTTGAGGCCTATGTAAGTGAATATCACCACAAAATATGGCCTGAAATATGGTACTAACGTACCTCCATTTTAGGATCCTGAAATTCCCATTGACTTCAGTTTACAATCCTGAAATCCACATACCCTCTGGTAAACTAACAGTTTGCGAACTGGAAAATCACCATGCTATTAATGGGTAGTCATCAATTATTTCGACTGGGCCATTTCCAATAGCTACGTAACAAATTACCAGACGGTATTCAATGGTACAAAAACCGGGTCTTTTAGCAATTTCCACCTCGCGAAATCCCCCATGTTTGCTGATTGGAGCCACATGTTGCTGAAATCCCCCAATATGCAGCCGGTTGCTGGACATATTTCCATGTCTTGCCAAAGATTTTTGAGCATTAAATCCTATTAAAGTAATCACCAAGCTATCGAAGACTATCTGAAACTATCCAAAACCATCTAAAAGTATCTGAAACTATCTAAAACCATCTAAAAGCATCTAAAGGTATCTAAACCTCCTATCTTCATCCACCTTTTCCCCCCGGGCCCCGGTTTCGCATCGCCAAAAACACCGCACCTGTTCCCACCTCGGCGGTCGCCACTGGCGCCAAGCGCCGTAGAGGCACGGAGATGGCCATGGCCTGATTTCATCATGGCCTGCTATAGATATAAAATATTACTATAGATATATATTTTGATATATTATAAATATATTACTATATTACTATATTACTATATTACTATATTACTATAGATGTTATATCAACAATAATATTATTATTGCATATTATTGCTATAGATTTAGATAGATAGCTATTAGATAGAGCTATATGTTCTATCATTTTCTAGTTGACACTAATCTTCCAATCCCTATCTAGCAGGGTCTATGTAAATTCACTGGAGATTACTAGATTCTAGTGAACATAATATTTCATGGTAATGACTACAGAATTATGACAGTATCTATAGTTACTGTATCTAATGATATGGTTACTATGATGATAGATATCTTGTATATAGTAGATTAAAATGATTATAGTATAAGTTCCAGATGATTACCACTATATATATAATGAATGTCTACTCATGGGTACATAATGGTACTGACTATCTATGGTAATGATAAATGTATCCATTTATATAGTAATATATAATGATAGTTAGCTCTGGATATATCTATCATTACCATTATCTATATTATCTATAGTATATTATAATCATCTGGGAATAAAGTAACCAGTAATTCGGTAGCTCTCGAATCTTTATCTAATGATTAGCTGATGGTTATCAATAGTTAATATAATCTACAGTGAATTGCCATAATTATCTAGAAATTACCTATAGATAATTAAGTATTTAACTATAGATAGTTACCTATAAGCATTAAGTATAGATGACTAACTATAGATAATTAACTATGGATAATTGTGGTGATGATAGATATATCTATAGATAATGCTAATGATAGCAAAAATGGTAATTAACTATCACTTGACCATAATAATCTATAGTTAATAATAAATAACTCACTATAGATAATTACCATAATTAACTATCATTACCATAATATCTATGAACTAGTAATTCGGTAGTTATCTATAGTTAATATTCTACAGTGAATTACAATAATTGTCTAGAAATTAAGTATAGATAATTCATTAATTATAGCTAATTAACTATAGATAATTAACTATGGATGATGAACTATAGATAATTATGGCAATGATAGATATATCTATAGCTAATGGTATAGAGAGGTAGCGGTACTGTATTTAATGCTAATAATAGCTCATCATTTAGTAGCCATTGTTGTGGTGATTATGGATGCCCTAATAATAATGATGCTAATGAAATTAGTGACAATGTAGTAAAAATGAAAGCGGTGATAATAATATAGTTGCAATAATTAGAATAACAAAAAAAATAAACTACCAGTTTTATATGAGCAGTTGCAAAACACTGGCGCTGGTTATATACATTTGGTGGGTTAACTTAACTTATATAATATATTTGAGATCATCGTATACCATCATTGGAATCCCCATTAACCAACAACAATAAATTATGTTCTAGCTGATTGGTGTTTGACATTGCTCAAATAATAGCAAAAATATATCATAATATATATATACACATATATATATATATATCATGGAGTGTGATAGAATATTCCGATAATATGACAATGTCATAAGGGAAACACCTCAAAACTCGGATCTTATGGAGATTTCAGCAACAAATAATAGGGGTAATTGGGATGTTATGTAATCATGGGGGTATGAACTCAATACGCAGAAGTGGTAGGTCCATCCCGATGAATAATTGGAGATACACGTGGGGGGTTCAATTCCATCGTGGAGGCTGTCCTAAAAGTGGGGATAAGTAACCCCCAACTGGGGTCATGTTATTTTTCGGGTGAAGGTGAGGTCGTAAACAACTGGATTGATTCTTTGGTTTTTTTGGGGTTGTTAAAAATTCTTTAAACATGGAAACATCCCATTGAATAACTCAGGTTCAAGCCTTGGTGTTCAATTTTGATCGGAAGCCCATCAGATCACTTCCGAGTTCGCGGAGCCCAGCAATCTGTGATGATTTCCCCAAAGCTCCAGTGGCTTTCGCCGAAGCTCGACATGACCTGGCTGCAAAAGGGGGAAAGATGGGGAAAGATGGGAAAGGGAGGCAAAAGTTCTGCGACCGCAATGTTGGGGTTCAATGGGATTAACAACATTGGTATTATAATATATTGTAATATATATATGATAATCATTTATAATCCCTGTCATTGTCATTGGTGATTGCTCAAATGTATTATGATCTCTATCATGATTGGGATAGTCATCCAAGATCATCCACCGATCACTCCAGTGAGTGACTACGACTATGGGCAATATGGTGTACAAGGTGGTGCCCCTAGTTATAAATTGGTTTATAAACCCCATTAACTACAGATATATCACTGTATAAACCATAGTTATTGGAGTTATTGGCACCAACTTAGCTATCAAACGGGGGCACCACCTTGTATATAAACTATTGGGACTAGATTCTATTGGCCCCAGTGATTGGGACTATTTGATATAAATTAATTTATTGTTGGAATTTAATATTGGGCTAATCAATTCTTGGGGCTATATTGTTATTGTTTGTGCCCTTGATTATTGGGACTTTTTTTTAACATATGCTAACTAAATGGATGATATATAGATATTGGTATTTTATTGTACCAATGAATTTGGCAAGTGAATTCGAACCCATGAATAATTCGGAGTATCCCAAAAATATGCGAATGAGAAAAAACTGATGTGGGGCTCCTCACAATTTGGAAAAGCGAATCACCCTCACAATAATAAGGAACGACTCGTCCGCCTGTGGAACTCACATACCATCCGCTCAGCCGCCCAGTTGCCAAGTTAGACCGGTCTTACCGGTGGGTACTCTACAGCAATGGATGCCGACAAAATCAAAACTCCACTTGGCATCCAAGAGGACAATCGATTCCATACTGACAAGAAAAACACACTTTTTCAGAATGTGGACCCTTTGAGTTTCTGGTTGGTGGTTGCTGCTAACCCCTCTGAAAAATATGAAAGTCAGTTGGGATGATGACATTCCCAGCATATGGAAAAATAAAAAATGTTCCAAACCACCAACCAGGTTTAAAGTCTGCCTTCAAATTGTGATTACCTCGGAAAAGGCTGTGGCTTTGCAATCAGAAACTTCCCACGCCCATCCATTTTCTGTGGTGATCTGTGTCATCGATCGCTGCAGTCGTCCGCAGTGCTGCAGTTGCAGACCTTCTTAAGGTCTTCGCTGACGTGATGAGATTATAGCGAGTGGCAAACTTCTTGAAGTTCGGAAGCACGTCTGGCAAATTGTTTCCTGGCTTCTGAAAAATCCAGAAAGCTCAAGTATGCTCAAGTCATTGAACAAATCCTCCCATTTAAATCATTTATAAGTTGTAAGTTCGAAAATAGCCAGAAACATTGCAACCGACCAGTTTCCAACTGCTCAAGTGGCCATGGCATCTTGCCATGGCTTTGCCAAAAGGATGAACTCATGGGGGAAGCCACAAACATCTCCGACGTGAACTCGATGGGTCAATATTCAAGACCCACGGAGATTCCAGATGTTTGTTAATTATTAGTACAATGTGAGGCCCCCGTTCGATAGCTAAGTTGGTGAACATAACTCCAATAACCATGGTTTGTGGTACTTATATCTATAGTTACTGGGGCTTATAAACCAACGTATAACTGGGGGGCCTCACATTGTAGATTTCTATACATGTCTATACATGTCTAATTATATAAATGGTAATTTAACTATACATTTCTCAAATTCGCCATTCATTTTTACCATTTGTAATCCATTTGTCCACATCTTCGACCGGACCCACTCAGCTAGGCTTCCAATCACCACTCTTGGCCAACCTGCACAGACTTGCCTTACACCGCTCCGCTGCTTCCTGCGCAATCTGCTGACGAAAGCTGCTACTAAACTTTGTGCAGAACCGGGCGGGCCACTTCTCTCGCGGACTCCTGCCCTCAACGATACACATCATGAAGTTGCCACCGCCATGGACGTCTTTCTTCCAAAAGTGGATCACATAGCTGTTCAACTTTGGTCAAAACAGGAAGTAATGATTATGGCACTCCTCATCGTCACAGCTTTGGCAATCATTGTAGCTGATGCTGGTCTGCCAATAGCTGGCCCCAGGCCTTGCTGACTTTGGTGGTCTGAAACACTTCTGTCCCGGCGTCATTCCGCATGGAACAGTCCTCTCCCTCCATTTCCAATGGACAGCACCAGCAAGGCTGAAGAAGCACACCAGAGTGGCCACAAGAGCCATGGCAGGTGGACAAGATTTGATCATAGTCACTATGAAATTCGCAAACCTACGAGCCCTCTGCGTTTCACAACGTGATGGGCCACACGATGAAACCACAACTCCCAGACCTCTCGCTGCACACTCCCTTTCTGCACTTCGAAATGCTCTAGAATAAATGAAACCTCTTGAAACATATTGAAACTCACTATGTTGGAAAGTTTCAAATTGACCCTTCAATCTGTCCAACCTATTGATGGAACCCTGTCTCAACAAAAACATGCACGGCGCACCATCTGAAGCACGAACTTGTCCACACAGCGCGTGGCGACGCCGTGGCGAGATGATTGGATGAATGAGTCCGACAACATCTAGGTTTGTCTGAAAACATATGGTACCCGTAAATCCACTTGCCATGAATGGTGTGGTATGCCCATTCACAGTTGGATCGTCTCCGATTTTTCAGTGGCCCCCAATGGGTTGAGTCCCATGGGCCCATGGCTCATTTCATTATTCAATGGCCAGGAAGTGTTGGTTTATGTATATATTAACATATATATATATATGTATACTTATACATAATATATATATATACACACTACATATATATATATACATAACACATATAAAAATATATATGCCCAATGGTTGCTGGTGAGATGTTCTTCAAATTGACCGGATAAGAACTTTCTTGGGGTGATCCAAGCCTTGCCTTCACGCCAGTGCCCATAATCTGCTCCTCAACTATCAGCAAGGAGAGGATGCGGGTGACCAACCGCCAGGGAAATGACATGTAGTGACGACCCTGCTTTGGGACGTGTAAAAAAAAACATTTCAAATCCGAAACCAAAAGGTTGAAATATGACTTGAAATAGGTCGAAAAGGTGAAATATGACTCGATATCCTTTTGAACCTTTCAGCTGCAGAAGGGCACCAGGGAACACATGGATCTACTCATTGAAAGTTGGAATTCATCAAGACAAATTGGTTTTTAAGCATCGAACGTGTGGGTAGAAAGCAAAAAAAAACATTTCAGTGGAAACAATATGGATCTAAAAACAAACATATCATTGATTCTTGCTATGAAAAACATTGGGTAAGAGTAAGCTGCCACACGTTTTCTTGCAGGGCATCTACCGTTGTACAACCGTGGCGGCGGGGTTGGCTGGAACGAAAAGTGGTGCTCTTTCCGAATAGTTCCTTATTCACCAGCTACATGGTCAAAAACAAGATCTAATCACTCTGTTTTTTATTTCTTAAAGCAGTTGAAATAGTTCAGAACGGTTTTTAGACAATCATCATTAATCGATTGAAGCCCAGTTGCTGGATGGTGGTTGTCATTTTTGTTGATCCCTACTTTTGCGGCTGAAAAATGCTGAAATCCAGGCACCTCGGGGAGCAAATGCAAACCGCGGCCCACATCTAAGGCTTCCTCCTTCTGGGCAGCCTGGACGACCCAAACATAAAGGATAGGATATCGGGATATCACTAGGGTATGGCTGGTGGAACCAACAGAATTCGAATATGGATATTATATATATATAGTAAAAAGTTGATATCAGACGTGTATATATATATATATCAGCATTATATCAGCTGTAGCTGATCAATATATTATATTAGAATATGGATATTATAATTGCGAACAAAGATCAGTGTATAGTTGACCAAGAAAGCTATGGATTTGTATGTTTCAACACATCCTGGAACACTTCTTCCATCCCTTGAGAATCAAAGCTGATGGTTGAGCCCGTGATAAAAGTCTGAAAGTCAATTCTGACCATCATCTCATTACCAGCAATGCACGATTTAGAATATGTAAAATATAATATATATATACACGTATCTGTGTGCGTGTGTCTACGTATATAAATTCGTGTTTTATTTTTTCTGAACATAGTAACATAGTTGTTTCTTCCTGAAACCACGAATCAAACCACTAGTGGTCGGGTGATGGGTCTCCATGAAGTAGGGCCCGATACAACAGGCATAATGCACCAGTCAGGTGGGAGGGACCCATTGGATCCCTGAGTTCCAATGGGTGATATGAAAGCCAACACCCCAACCTGTTGCTTTCTCTTGGTATCCCCATGTTGCTCGAAATTACTAGTTTAGCCACATCAAATGGTTGGAATGTGTCATCCCAGTCATAAAACCCTCTGGTACACATACAAGGTTAGCTATTGAAAATGGCCATTGAAATAGTGAGTTTTCCCATTAAAAATAGTGGATCTTTCCATAGTTTTTTGTAAACGTTTACCAGAGGGTCAAAAAAACCCGTCCCAGTCACAGAGTCCACGGATCCGCCTCAAAGGCCTCCGCTTCCAACACGGCGAAGAGCACACGACGGGGCTCCTTCCAATCCATCTCGTTCACAACACCACCCAGTCCACAGCCAACGATGAGACCCTCAGAAACGGGGCTGGGAGGTACTGGGATGCCGCGAGATATAACATATGTAACTTGTTAGTAAGTGGGGTTATAACATGTTATAACCCACTAAGTGAGATAACCCCACTTAGGGGACTTAACCAGGGCTATTAACCAGTTGCTAATTGGGATCCTCCAAGTTGCAGTATCCCATCGCCAAAAACGCCTGCGCCAAGCCTTGAACTTAATCCCTAGTTGGGGATCAAAACCATCCTTAGGATGATACAGTGATAGAAAACTATATATTGAATATCATATATATGTGATATATATATATGATATATATATAATATATTATATATATATATGATATATATGATATATATATATATGTGATATATATGATATATATATATATATGTGATATATATGAATATATATATATATATGATATATATGACAATATATGATCTATATATATATGATATACATGACAATATATGATATATATATATATGATATTATATATATATATGATACATATGACAATATATGAATATATATGATAGAATATATATATAACCACATTCTTGGTGAGGTCGGATATAGTGAAGTCGCTATGATTTATCTTTGTACCCCCAAGTTGAGCCAAAGCATGGACCAAGCGCCCCCGCGCGTGACCACACTGCAACAGTGGCCTTGCTGTTTCAGCAGGATCTGATCAAATCAATCAGAACAGCAGGATCTTCTACGGCAGAAAACCATAGGAAAACCATAGGGAAACCATAGGATAATGGTGATTTAACCACTATAAATGGGGATTTAATAGTGATTTTTAATGGTGAATAACAATGGGTTAACAATGATGAATCATGGGATGATATGGGATTTACCCTCTGGTTATGACTAACATAGCCATGGTATAGACGGCCCATAGAAATAGATGGTTTACCGTTCTTAAAAATGATGGTTTTCCATGGCGAACTGTTAAATAACCAGATGGTACATAGAGTATATATAGACATTGTCAATCAAGAAATCGATCAATAAGACTCGAGGATTCAAGCACCACGGCAAAAAAATGACCTGGTCATATAAATCAACCACAAATATCGGGGTTGGATTGTCGCCTGAAGGGATATCACTACACAATGCATCTCACAGCTATTTTAGCATCACTATTAAATGCACCTGCTGAAATCCGACTCCCTTCAAGGCTCGTTTTTAAATCTTGATTTTTGAGGTGGCTTTTTGTAGTCCGCGGCAGTGCACATTTCTTTCCCATAGCTCTGTTTGGTGCCATGTTGTAGCTGAACCAGCATGAGCACAGAAGTCCCTTGTCCAAACCTATTCCCTCATGCCTTCTTGACACCAAACGCATATCCTATGCCTAATTTTTCTTACTGTCTTTGTCATCCACTGATGGGGCATGATGAAGACAACATTTGGAGCCTGGGGCAATGAAGTCAAAACTATTAAAAAAAAAAATGTATGGGCCAACCACCTACCGACCTGGTGATCATCATGATCGCGGTCAGGAATACGCCAGACTGGGCTTTATGTGGTGCCTTTTTCCGTGGCACATGTTTTGTATGGTTTGGTACTTTTTTTTGTGTTCCTGGAAAAGAATTTGACACATTTTGGTACTCATTGCTTTGAAGTCAGTTGATTTCAAAGGAGGAGAACCGCCTTTGGAAGACCGTGCTTCCAACCAGCATGTAGATTGAGACTGAGCATTTTGTAGTCTAGATACGTGGATCACCTGGATCACCATTCTGTAGCCAAATGTTCTGTTTGCACGTGTTCTGTATGGGGAGAAAAGGCAATAATGGAACGGACACGATTGTTAGTTGTCAACATATATATATATATACGTAAGCATCAATAAGTATCAATAAGTATCAATAAGTATCAATAAGTACCATCTGGTTATTTAACATAGCCATGGAAAATCCCTTAAAAATGGAGGATTCTAGCTGGGAAAATCATCTATAAATGGAGGGTATCAATATGTTCTGCAATCAAGCCAGTGGCATCAGCATTGGTCGGCTGTCGCCAAGACCAACATCCCCAGCACAAAAAAGCGAGGCCCGGGCCGCTCGGGGAAAAAATCTCATCCAAAATGAAAAAAAGCAAAAAACACCTGGGCTACAAAATTCATGGCTTGAGAACTTGCGAACATAGGGAGCCATCAAAGCAATAGACATAGTGTTGACCCAACGGGATCTTCGACACATTGGAATCTCGCATGGCAATGGCTGTGTCGGTCGGGTACCATTCCCCCAATCGCATAGACCCTGAGAATCTCCCATTTTTCAGAGGAAAGCCGCCTTCCAACCCCCAACTCTTGGCAAGGTCAATGTTCGTTGGAAGTAACATTTGTGCACTCAGAAAAACAAACAGTTGCAGCCCCACCCTCTAGCGTTCCAACCTAGCAATGAAACGTTCCAGCATCATCGCTTATGGTTGGGTCCACCACATTACAACTGATACCCTATGGTGATTTAAGATAGCGGAAAATCACCATTTTTTTCAGAGCTAAAACATCTCATTATCTATTTTTTGGCAAATCAGATAGCTATGGAAAATCACCATTGTTTTCAATAGTTAGAGCTAAAACATGTGTTTAATCAAAATAGGCAAATCATCCATTCATGGACCATTTTCCATAGCATACCCAGAGGCTACCCAGTCTTCGTCAGGTGGCATGGTTCAGCATGCCGTGTTCCAACTTGAAGGAGCGCGGTTCAAGGCCTCGGCGTATAATGAAAAAACACCACCAAATGTTTAGATATAATGTATTATACATATATTGTTTTTATTTATATTGTTAGAGAACCAATAAAAGTAATCTATATACATATACACATATACATATAAAGTGTATATATATACATATAAATATCACTATGTCTGGTTAACAATAGAGCACGTGATCCTGTGGCCCTTGAAATTGAAACTGAA